AGGAAGTTCAATATCTCTCGGAGCCATAGATATAGCATATGAACTATATTTTTAACAAAATTTATTTTATTTTATCATTGAATTTGTTAAGTTAAAAGCAAATTTCAACCCAAATATAGGCATTTTAAATATATATATATATAAATTTATAAATAAAAATAACAAAAAATAATTTTTTATTTTAAAATCATTCAGAAAATTTAGCTTTTACCTTACATTAATAAGTAAAAAAAGAAATATTATATAAATTATATACCATTTTATTAAAAACATATTATAGTATTTAAGATATAATAAATTTATTGAATTATTCATTGCACATATACGGTTTATGTATTATTAACAAAATAACAAAAAAAAATTGAATTATAGATAATATAAACAGTGAAAATAATTGACGATAAATGTCGACAAATATTTTGGTTAATTGGAGTAAATTATAAATTTATAAATCAGAGAAGAAAAAAGCAAAAATAACACATTAAAAAAATTATATAATTAAACATAAATTTAAACCAAAATAAAGTTCAATAAAAATTGAACATAAATATTATATTAAAAATTTTTGAAAAAAATATTTATATATTTTTTCACTGTTTGTTTTTAATACAATATCGACAAAAGGGAAACGTTTTTATTTTTGTTGTTGAACTCTCACAATAGTGTTAGAAAATAGTGGGCATTGAATTACAAAACCATCAAAAAAAATATTTATGCATTTGTTTGCCGTTTGTATTTTATTTAATATAAACGGTATAATATATTGTTCAATAATAAATATAAATGTATTTTTAAAAATAGTATGTATTTTTTGATTTTTAAAAGAGAAATTCATTAAATAATTGACAGAATAATCGTAGTGCTGTTACTAAATATTTAAATATAAATTTATAATATATTTATAATATATATTGTATACAGTAATGTATTTTTGAGTGCATTTGTATACCAGTATATACTGTATATATATATATATATACTGTATATATATATATATACTGTATATATATATACTGTATATATATAGTTGATTTATGTTAGGTATAAATCCATTTTATCTTATCATTACTATTGTTTTAGGTATACTATCTTTTTCTCGTTTTGAAAAAATGTTATATTTTATACCAATACATGAAATCTTTTAGTGCTTTGAAAATTGGTGTTTATATTACTAAAAAACATTACAATTAAGCTCTTGAGATCTCAAATTGTATAACTGGTCGTCATTTTGGTTGTCGTCGTCATCATAGTTGATGATTCAAATAAAAGATACTATTTTATAAATTATATAAAGTATAAAAATTTATATATCTATATCTATACTTTATATACTTTATATACAATAATATATCGCATGTTTGTTGTTTTCAAGCGTTTATTTGAATGACAAAAGTCTGGCGACAACTGAAATGGCAAACTCTCGACAAATAGCATAATATAACAACACATTTATGATATAATACAGTAAAAATAATATTATATATAACCTCATAAACCTCATAATATTTAATATAGATATAAATGTAATATTATACTGTACTGTACATTATAAAGTGATATTTTATACTATTTATATTTGAGTCCAAAATGTAAGATCTCACAACTTATATATTAAATATTTATATAATTTAATTTTAACCAACATATTATTGTTAACCGTATATTTAATTTATAAAATAGAGAACTTTGCATAACAAACTGTATTTTGTTTAATTTAAATTATAATTTATAAAAAACGGTATACTTAATGACTCATTGAACTAAATTAAGTTATATAATGTTAACTAATAATAAACCAAACGGTAATGTATGCAACTGTACTGTATATTAAATATATATAATATATTAAATTAATTTTTAGTTGCAATTTTTGAGGGCTTATTTTACTTATGTTATATATGTAGGCTATCGATGTCTGATATAAAGTAATTAAAACTCACACAAAACTTTAATATTGTCTGTATAACACTGCATCCCAAACACTCACAAAAAAATCTACATTTATAATTAACGGGCCGACAAACATACATATTAGATAAAAAACTATATACTAAATAAAATTTATGCTCAAAATTCACGTTTTTAGTCAAATCTATAGCTCCAGGAGTTCAATACATCAGCTATGATGAAGAAAATAGCGGAATCCCTACTCTTTTAACTAATTATTCAATCGTTTCATTCAATTTTTGTTCAAAACATGAATTAGTATAGCATATGAATACAGTTTATTAGCGTAAGTCCTAAAAATTAGAGATTCAAATACACAAACTCTATAATGTAATGAAGTATTGAATTTTAAATTATTTAGTTTTTTTCTCGTTAAACAAAATCCTTATTAAATCAGATATACATTTGTATATACAGTATATACTACAGTATATATATATATATATACAGTACATAAATGTCGGTTTGAGAGGAAAATTGTTTGCATTTTTGTGTTGCTTAAGACAAATATCACTTTGACTCAAATAATATATATATATATATAAAAGTTTATATCAGTATTTTTTTGTTTCAACAAACATTATTTTCTCAGAAAATATTTCATTTTTAATTATTTAACGATAAGCTTTTTACAACTGTTGAGAGGTATTAAAAATATATATATGTTTTAATGAGTAGAAAAATACTTATTTTTATATATTTTATTTTTTACTTTAATAGCTAATCAAACCCATAGAATTATAATACATATAATATAATATGGTATTTATACTTAATTTTATTTATAAATTATTTATTAATAGTACTGTACTGTATATGATGTACAGTACAGTACTGTATTAAAATTATGACATTTTGTGTATAACATAGTAGTAGTCTATTTGGGAAAATAAGATAAACACTTCATTTTAATTAATCAAAATTCATAGCTATATGTGTTTTTAAAATAGTTTTTTAAATTGTTAAAATTTTTAGCTTCTTATACACTGATAATATGATTAATTAAATATACACTAAAAAATCATTGTACGGATTGACATATTTCTATGTTGTGTTTGGTTTTTTCTGACTTATTTTATGGCATTTAAAGGGCCATAAAAAATATCTGAAAAAGCTGTGTAAAAGAGAGAAAGAGATTTGAAACTCGTTTTTTAAAATAAAACAAATAAAAAAATTGAAACAGAGATAAAAAAATACTAAAACTAAAACAACAGAAATGTTAAAAAGGGTTATTAAAATAAAACAATTTTTTTATATATATTTTGTGGTTTTCTAGATATATTGTGTTGTTTTAATTGCCATTTGCCACTTAAGACTGAGGTGGGGGTGAAACTCATTATTTAATTATATTTTGTTCACCAAAAAAAATAAAACATAAAATATTTGCCAAAAACTAATTGCGTTTATAAATTAGCAGTTAAGAGCAGATATAAGATATATGATAATAACAATAATTTATATCTGGCTTTTATAATAAATGTATAAAAAAAACTATAAGAAAGGATATTAAACAAGGGTCTGTCATATTGGTTACAAATTTGATCATAAATTGTCTTTAAATATTATTTGTATTGAATAAAAACATATTACAGTATAATATAAAATATGGTTATAAATGAATATTAAAATAAAAGAAAAAACAAATAAACTAAATTACATATATTTATTTTATGTATATGATAAATATTTATATATAAATATATAAAATATAAATAATAAATTACATTACATACATTAAAAAAAGAGCACTGTTATCTCAACAGTAATATATTTTATTTTAATATAATTTAATACATTATAAGAAAATAAAATAATAATAAAAATATTTTAAATAATAAAAATTTTTGATTTTTATTATACGAAACTAAAATAAGGCTTCCGTAATGTTTTTAGATATAAAAATACATTATACTATTCACGACACAATCAAAAATATAAAAATTTTATTCTTTATTAAAATAATAACAAAAAAACTTTTTTTTAATCAACAAATTTTGATTCAAAAATATTAAATGTATGTATTTGTGGTGTGTATGTGTGTGTGTGTCAATGTATGCTAGAAACTTAATACCCTTATTATATAATATAAGTAATATTAAATATTTTAAAATCTCAACTATATATATATATATATATATATATATATATATATATATATATATATATATATATATATATATATATATATATATATATATAGTGTATATAATATATAAATGAGAGAAAAAGATTATGAAAATTGCTGAATAAATGCATTAATATATTTTAACAAAATTATAATAAAAAAAAATAAATTTGAATTTTAAATGCAATCAATTTTATTATACAACAGTTACATGTAGTATATATGGAAGTTTTTTAAGTCTCATTTAAAAAAAACAAAAATATGTGCTAAAAATATAGTGTAAATACACTGTAATACTCTTATATTATTTGTCATTTTTATGTGAATTAAATGCAATAATATTCTCTCTCTCTCTCTCTCTCTCTCTCTCTCTCTCTCTCTCTCTCTCTCTCTCTCTCTCTCTCTCTCTCTCTCTCTCTCTCTCTCTCTTGTTTCCCGACAGTTAGTCAGTCAAACAATTCAAGACAACATATCCAACATCTCTCTCTTTCTTTCTTTCTTTCAGTGCGCTATGCATAACATCTAACAGTTGGTGAACAGTTGTTTGGGCTCATACACTGTATGGTTAGACATAATTTAACTCAACAAAAATAAAATAAAATTGAATTTTAGAGAAAAAATAATCATTTAGTTTTAACATTTTTCTCTATAATTAACGGCACTTATACAGTATAACAGGAATTGCATGACTTGTGCTTTTAATTTATTTATTACTTTTGATATATATATATATAACTTTTACATTATATCTTTTTAAAGTGTTTTAGAGAGAGAGAGAGAGAGAGAGAGAGCGGCGACTGAACAAAAAATAAAGTTTTTATATCTAAATTACAAGTCATATAAAATACTGGTATATAATGCTATATAAAAATCTAGTAATTAATGAAATATTAGCAATACTTACAGTAAAAAAAGATATATTCTGGCGTTTAATAAGAAACAACACTTTTTTCTGATGTGTGTATATATATGTAGGCGTCGGTTGTACTCAAAAAGTCAAGTGTGAGAGATTGAAATCCCTATAATTATAACGAAATTTATATAAAAAATATATTATTAATGTTGTTATCAGTTGTGATAATAATAATAATATTATTATTATAATTATGATATTGAAAATAAATATATCGTTAAGTTTTTATTGTTCTTAATATATAAATTTATATTCTGTACACTGGATTAATACTTTATTATTATTATACAATAATTTTATTAATATTAATGTAGAGTATATACTGTAGGAATACATTAATGATAGCCCTATTGCTAATTAAACAACACTTTAATATAATGAAAAAACAATGCTTTTATTATTATTATTATTATTATTATTATTATTGAATATTATTATTACTTTTTTTTCGTTGAACTTTTATGTTCATCGGAGCTGAACTAATATACAGCGAAAAAACACTAAAAATAAGTTAAACACTGATAAAAAAAAGTCAAACAATATATTACATTATATATACTGTATATATAGCCAAAAATAAAATAATAAAAAAATATAATCAATATTATTTTTGTATATATTATATGGCAATCTGAGAAACCAAAATAACTATACCAATGTCAATGATATTTAAATATTTAATAAATGTAATACACTTTAATTAGAGTCAAACCATTCATAATTAACTTTTTTTTGTTGGTTTCGGGCATACAATGCAATTACATTATTATACTATATTAATAATACTCTATGTTTGACATACAAATGTGTGTTTTATGTTTTTTAATGGGTTTTAATTGCCGGTGCAATTTATGCACATATTATATACATGACATATAGTTATTAATAATATTATATAATTTGCAGTATATGTATACACTAAATGTCAGAGAAAGAGAGAGAGAGAGAGAGAAAAAAACTGTAAATATGTTATATAAATACTATACATTGCTTAATACATACTATACTACAGTAATTCTATTGATATAACAGTATATTTTGCTGATTATACATTTGATTTGAGTGTGTATTTTGTAAATTTCGATTGTTATAGTGATATATCAGTTGATAGTATATCCAGTGGTGGTAGTATCGGTGCACTGGGATATTGCAGATATCAATGGCACTCCACTTATATTATATCTATAAAACGTACCGACTCTATGATGTGATGCACACACATGCAAACTACCGGAGCACTATACAAACTACTCGTGCAATTGACTTTACAATCACTTGACTTAGCTTTTCTAAACTTTAAAGCCAAATAACTTTAGATAATATATAACTTATGTAACAAATAAATATATTTATTTTTTGAAAAAATATTATTTACGTTATATAAAAGTGTAAATTTTAAGTGTGTGTTGTTTAGCTTATTTTCCCCACAAAACAAAATAAGGAAATCAAAGTTTTCTTAATTATATCTAATTAATTATAATTGTTGGCTAAAGTGTTAAACCAAACATTTTGCCGGTATTTTTACATTACATGTTATGGCAATTAGGAAATAACAGTTTAGTCAATGAGTGATATGGGAGAGAGAGAGAGAGAGAGAGAGAGAGAGAGAGAGAGACTAAGCTAATGCTCATTCAGTCAGACAGTTAAGAGATTCAGACGTATTGATAAATAATATGTTGAGTGAGTTAAGAGACAACGATATGTATATATATTTATCTGCAAATGCTGGGTACATCTCCTCCCTCTGCAGTAAAGACTTGATTTATAAGAAGATAGTAATCGCCAACAAAATAAAGGGTTGTTTGGCGAGAGATCAGAGAGAGAGAGAGAGAGAGAGAGAGAGAGAGAGAGAGAGAGAGAGAGAGAGAGAGAGAGAGAGAGAGARAAGTAACTGAAGTACACTCCTCTCATCATAAATCTCTCTCTCTCTCTCTCTCTCTCTTTCTTTCTCTCTTTTTTAATAAGCTATATATAAATATTGTTTGTATGGAGAGAATTATAGCTATTATACAATCAAAACGTCTCAATAAGTTATATATAAATATAAATAAAGTGCTGTTTATATAATACCATATAGGATATCATAGGGATTTTGTGCAAACATACTGTTAGGTTGTTGGTTGGTATGTGTTTTTGTGCCATAAATATGCTATAAATCCTGGAGTGAGTACACTATACACAGAGTCATCCCGGTCTCTGAACCAAATGGTTCGCTAAAAACAATTAAACTCTATAATTAATGGCATTTTATTAATGTATATTTTGAATTATCATTGCATAGTTTTCATTCAATATATAAGTTTTAAAAATAATAATACTCTTTTACTAATAACAATAATACTGTTGTTATATTTTTACAATATATACACTATTCTATATAATAATTATTTTATAAATAAAAGTTTGGGTCAATGCAATGGAAAATGACTTTTTTTAAACAAAAAAAATTATTATATATCTGACCTCTTATTTGATTTGAACTAAAAAATTATATTATATTCGAAAAAAATGTTTTTATTTACAATCATTAAAATCATATTTAAACTTATCTCTCAATTATGTTCATAAAACTATCGCTTAAGTATATATTTTTAAACATAAATATATAACAGTAACGATTTATTTGCAATATTTTTTTTCGTAAATCCCTTTATTTAAATAAGTAATTTATAATTTTCATAAAAAAAAGAAAATTTATTGAAACAAAAATAAATTATTATTGTTTAATATGCAGCCAAAAATATAGAGTCCAAAAATACAAAATTAGCACAAATTATGATAATATAGTGTTTTATATAAACTTTTTTTTGGTTTATTATAAATACTACTATTAATAATGATAAAAATTATAATAATTTCCAAAATATAGTATAATCTTTAAATGTTAATATAATACTAAATATAAATAATTAATTTTAAGTATTTTTAAATGTATAAAATATTCTACAAAAATAACATCTGTCTTAAAGTTTGTAATAATATTTCAGCATAAATAGCCTAAATATTTAATGAAATAAAAATATATATTTTTAAAAAGTATTTTTTTGGTAATAGTTAATTAATAAAATTATTTTTAATGAACCATTTTATAAATTAATTTTCTGGGACACACACAGGTATATTGGTAATGAAACTATAGGTATAAGTTTAAAAGCATACTCTCTCTCTCTCTCTCTCTCTCAAAGTTTTAAGACATAAAATTTTATTGCAAATTACCTAAAGTTAATATAATTAATTAATTAATACAACTAAAAATACAAATTTTAAACCAATTTGATAATTATTTTCTTTTAAATAAAAAATTATAAATATTTTTTTTAATAAATCAAATTAATATTAAAATAATAATTTTATGTCAAAACAAATTATCTTTAAAATAATATTAAATTTTTATTATATTATTAATAGATATTAGAGAAAAGTGAACGTTATTTGTATTAAATGTATTGGTTTTGTAAAACATTGATATCAATGGCCGACACTTTTACTGTTATTGTATTAAAATATAAATAATAATAAAATACAATATTATTAGTGTATTGTTGTGTTATTTTTTGCTATGTATTTGTCGCACAAGTTTTGAATAGATTTTGAAATTTGTTTTTTAAATTGTTTTTGTTTTTTGTGTTTTCATTGAATATATTATTTAATACATAATAATAGCATTTTGTGTGACATTTGTTTGTTTTGTCTGTTTGTGCGACCAATTGATGTCTTCGTTGATTGATTTGTGGTCACAAAAACTATTTTGAATCACAACAACATCACTACCGATGGACACAACGATTACTAGTGAAGACAATCAGCAGCGACGACAAAATATCATCGGTAGTAGTGATGGCCAACAATCACAACAAGTAGTGACGACACGTATAAGTGGTGGCGTCGGTGATGAAGATATCTCGTCGTTAACGTCATCAACGACTGCCGGCGTTTCACAACAACAGCAACAGTTGCCGAAAGACCACTCGTCGGCCACCAAAAAGACATTTTCGACTCTGAAGGAGGAAAACGATAAACTTCGGACATATTTAGGTTTAGTGAAGATGTGCAACAACTCTGCCATCGCTAAGATCAAGGCTTCCATCAATGACACCATTTCTACCATCAACTCTGCCGGCGAAGTGGGCGTCGATTCGGCGATTATTGTACGCCAACTGGAGGTCATTCAAAACGAGATAATCAATATGCAGTCCATTCACACACAACTCGATGAAGGTGTGGACGCATTTCTGATGACACCCGACAACAATATGATGATAATCGCTAAGACAGGCACAGTTGATCCATTCGGCGGCGATCTTCATAACAAAGAGAAGACTACAACTTCAGCGACCAATCGCTACGATATTCCCCGAAAATCAACCGGAATTCGCAAATCAAAGTCAAAAACGGCCGCAAAATTAAAGTCAACTAAAGACCATCAGATGAATGCGAAACTCTTGAATCGGGTGATCGATAATCGGACAAATAAACCATCATTTGGTGATAATATTCAAATGATTGATATTAGAAATGAAGAGTCTGAAGCTGTGGCCAACATTGAGCACAACACAAGTCCAGCGACTGTAGAGGAAAGAGAGAATGTGTCGCAAGTGATGACAATACCGATGACAACGGATTCTGTTGTTTTGCAGAACAAAATGGTTAAAAAGCCCCACATTAGCGATGAGTTTAAGTCAAGTCATAATCAGCGACTTATTGAAGCCAAAAGACGTCGCGAAGAGATGAATAGACAAATGGAAAGAGAGGGCAAACGAAAGCCCAAATCCAAGAGACTCGATGACAGACTAAGAACTGTCACTGAAATTACTAAAAATAATAATAAGAAGAGACCAATAAAAAAGAAGATAATCGGCAAAACTATTAAGAAGAAGTCACAGCAGCCAATGCTGACCGGACAGAGTATTGTTTTGCCGATTAGTCAGTCAACTCTGGACTCTTTGGCCGGTCAGACCATACAGATCATCGCCAGTGGCGGCACACAAATATTGTGTCGAAGTGACGGCACATTCATTCCGGCAACAAACGCCTCGCAATGGCCATTGGCCACTACTAACACCCAGTGGGCAGCGGCGGCCGCGACCACTGATAGCAACAATTCATTTACAACTAATCAATGGAATCAATATCAGACTTAATGTCTTTGACATAGATTTAAATCATGCCATCATTTTATGTATAAATTATAGCTCCAATTATTAATATTATTATTATATACAGTATATTATAAATAATTATATAATTTTTTTATGTAAAATATTTATACTAATTATAATATTCATAATGAAGAATTCAATTTAGGAAACAATATAATTGATTTACTTTATATAGAGTTTGGTATATATATATATATATATTATATAATATAATAATATATGTATATATTTTGTTGTGAAGTTTATGTAATATAAAACCAATTTTTTGGTGTCAAAACAACAAACAAATATCAAATAAATAAATAATAAAGTTTTCCTTATTGTTATTCACAGAAAACTTGAATCGATAACAAAAATTGTATTACATTTTTTGTGTTGATTTTTACGTTTATTTACTTATGTTTATTTAGTGTCTAATCTAAAAATCCTATTAATATATAATTAATTTTTCACTTAAATATCAATTAAGTTATGAGTTTAGGTTTGGTCTCATAAGAAAATAAACAAATAAAAAGTTAGTAATTTTGTACTTTAAATATGATTTTTAGTCAAAGAAAATTGGTGCTTAAAATTATGTTATAAATTATATATATATAATGAGTATAACTAATAATAATTATTATTATTATATTTATATTATGCATTCAGGTGGGTAATATTTTTATTATTTGCTCATAGATTAATAGATATGTTTTGATTAAAAATAATTAGATATAATTTTGTTTAAACATTACATATTATAGTTGTTATTGCCATACATGTACTGTTAATTAGGAAATTTTAGTGCAGTTATGAAAAATAAACTTGAATTTCCTCTCAAAAAAAATATACAGTATATGAGAGAAATTTTTATTTTCTAATCACATGTTATTAAATTACTAATTGAATAATTGGTAAGTTTTTTAAATATATTTATATATTTAATGTTTTAGTGTAGAAATTAATAATATTAAATTTGACTAAAATTAAAGGTTTTCTAAGTGCAATATAATGTACAGCATAATACTGGTACTTATATAAAGATAGTCATTATTTTTGATACACGTTTTTTCAGACGTTTAGCTTTTATAAATAGATAGTCTTAAAAATAATTTTTAAAACACAATTTTTTATCATACAGCTATGGGATAACCATAATAACTATTATTAAAAATAATAACAATTTTCTCTAGTAGAGTATATATATAATTTTAACTGTGATGATAAATATGGGGCCATTGATTTTTGTATTAGACTCACTAAAAAAATGTAATGTTTAATGAATACAAATTTGTTGGTTAAAGTTTAAAGCCATGTTTTTTATATTGTTATTATCAATAAAAAAATATTTACTATAAAAAATATCTAACTTAACTTTTTATTTTTATAGTAAATATATGATTATTTTTTCAATGAACAAGTTTAAACCATAACACGAATAACATCATAAATGGTTTTTCATTATAAAAAAAGTAGATTTAATAGCTTACAAACAATAGATGCAATTTTTATCAGTAGTTAAACTTAGTTAAGCTTTAATGTTAAGCTATTTTTATTATACAGTACAATATCTACAGTAATAGTATATTACTTTATATATTATATTAATATTGTTTGCTATGAATCGATAATAAAAGTTCCTATAATGCTATATATGTGTATTTAAAAGACTTGGAAATATAAGTCATTTTTATGATCAATTGATGTCATATTATTTTGTTTTGTTTGATGATTAGTTTTTTTGTGTAGAAATAAATAAATTAAGCACAAAATTATACATATATTTTTGTTGCAAATAAAACCAATTACTAGTTGTTTGGTTCAAATCTTAATCTCCTGTTTTTATTCAATACTTATGATAACTGTTGAATCGATTAGTGAACAAAAAAAGGGGTTTATCGTTGAATATATAATTATTTCAGATATTTTTATTAGTTTTTTTGCTTTAATTTGATTGCAAAGGGCATAGACTCTGGGGAGTGATTTTGACATTAATTGCATAATTGAAATAAATTTGAATAACTAATTGCCAATAGTTTGTGTGTGTTTTTTGTGCTGATTTTTTTTGGGTGACGGGACATAACTAATTTATGGCCACTCATATAACAGCGCATATATGATAATTTAGTGACCCATTGGCTAATGACTGGCCCATTGAGTGTATATCCCATAAAATATAAATATACTGTCACTCAATGGACTAATATTATAATAAAGCCGGTAATGAAAATAGTCAGTCAAGAGTCTATTTTAACAAACAATTTATCGTTTAGTCAACTGATATGTCATTAATTTAATTTAAATTTTTCAATGACAACAAAAAATATGTGTCATTTTTATTAAGCAAATATATTATAGAAATAAAAAATCTAGTGATTATAATAATATTTTTTATTATAATTTATTTATTATTAATAGACATTATTACATACATCATCAAAAAACATGTGAACAACTCAACTACATATAAGTTTATATATAAATATGTAAATAACAACAACATGTGTGGACACATATAACTAGAAACCCTGAGCTAAAACTTATTTTTGTTGAAATAATTTTTCAATTAATATTAGATAAACTTTTTTACAAAAAAAATATATTTATCGTATATGACATGCATTTTTTGACATCAGCTCTGAAAATATCGTTATTTGTCAAACATTTATATATAGAAATACAGATAACATTTTTGCCTATTTTTGAAAATACAGTACAAAAATATACATATAAGTTATAATGACTTAGAAACCTTATTATAGCATAAATACAGTGATAATAATTATGAGGATTATTAAATATGTAGATAATATAAATATTAGTATTACTCCAATTTTTAAAAATATTTTTTTGCCATTAATTTTTTTATGGTGAGAGATTTTATCACTATATATCATTAATAAACATTATTATTATTATTGCAGTTATAGACTGTTGTGTGAAATAATTTTATATTATTAGAAAAAAAAACATTATTAATATTCATATTAGTTATATGAAGAAATAATAATCTATGTCATTAATAATAATAGCAATGAATAATAAATATTTTTCAACCATAGTATAGCAAACCAATGTATAGCCTAATTTTTCAACACTACATATATTGAAAAAATTATATATTTTTTTATCAAATCAACAAAATATATATATATATATATATAATATAATTTACATATAAATTAAAATATATAAATAAAAAATGCAAATTCATTACCTGAACAATCAATCAATCAATGAATCAGATAATAGTGTCGGGAACGGCAACTTTCAAGGCCTCGCTGGTCAGTGACAACGGGTTAAAGTCAAATGTAGAGTTACCACTGCCTACAATAGTGTCAAACACTTCAGGTAAGGCTAGATCGCTCTGTGCCTGTTCCTCCTTGAGCTCGGCATACGAGCGCACAAAGTCCACAATCAGCAAAAAGTTTTGGCCCAACGCTGCTATTATCTAATCATTTATTATAATAATAAATTTTTTTAAACAAAAATACTATTGTCGTCATCGGATTATTAATCATTTAATATTATTAATAGTAATTTATTATTTTACTGTATTATTGTTGCAAATATTTTTTTTTTAGTTAAAAACATTTTATAGTCTGGTTGCTATTTTTGTAACATTACATAAAACATGAATATATTGTTATCAATACTATAATATATAATATTATATACACACACTCTCTTTAAAACTTTTTTCCCATAAATTTTTTGTGTTGCACTTTCATAATATGATAAATTAACAGCAAAAACTTTAAATAAATAAAAAATCTACAGTTATATTAATATATATATATTACCTGAAGTTTTATTGGCAAAAGTAATATTAATTTTAATATATTCATAATTAATACAAAATTCATACATAAAAAATATGATTGAAACGAAAAGATTAATGTTAGTAAAAAAAAGAGGTTTTGCTTGAAATACTAAACATAAACAACAAAAATAAAATAAAAAGTTTGTAATTTAGCAAACAGTGTAATTGAAGCAAAAATGTTTAAATGTTAAACAGTTAAAAGTCATCTGAAAAAAGTCAAGGCTATGGGTAATACTGTTAGTTGAAGTGTTTGTTGAGGTGAGGGGTTTGGTTTGCAATCGGGAAATATATTTAGTTAGAAAATATAAAAATCACAAATCACTTACCGAAGCGTAAGTGGGATAAGTTATCTCAAAGAGATCGAGACAATAGAAGCCAATGGTTGGTCCCGATAGACGTTGGATAAACATACGGAGCTATTATAATCAATACACCAGAAAAAAACAAAACAACACATCATTTTAGTTGTCAAACACATACATACACATCAAATTTAACTGTTTTTTTTCTCAAAAATACATTAATACAATAATTATCACTTATATATAGATAGATAGACTGACAACAACACAAACCACTCTTTTACTTATTTGCCGCAAACATATATAATAAAATACAGTAAAGTTTTTTTTCGCAAAAGCAAACACATCGAGTGTTTAGAGCTGTTTTAAGTGAAGGCTATAACTCGTATGGGGAACTGGAGGATAGAGTGTGGAGAGAGAAAGAAAGAGAGAGAGAGAGAGGATAATACAGCTCACGGAGAAGCAACACATGTAGCAAAAAACAAACAAACAGCAAACAACTTGCCTGAATCTGTAGCTCAACTGGATATTTATCAAACGTCACTCTTATAAGTCGAGTATAGGATGCGTGTGCCTGAAATACAAGTCAATTGACGGCATATTATACAGTAAATGGTTAACTATTCAATAGATACTATTATATTATTATAAATAAATATTTATCCATATTTAATATTTATGGGATTTTGAAAATGAAATTAATTGATGACATTGCCATTCACGGCACGTCCTAATTTCTAGTCCCTGTCTTATATGCTTGTGTACTACTGGGTACTACTACTACTACTACTGGGTATCATCATCACCATCATCAATAAATTTAGCATTTTTATTTAGTTATTTTTTCTATTAAATAGATAATAATATTAAGTATGATAGACCTCATTAGCCAGTCGTGAGGCATTAACTGACACTCTAGTGAACAGATAGGCCGCCTCTACAGCCATAGTAAACATGACGGCCCTAACCATCGTCCGGTTGGATGTGAAGAATGCCTGAAATGTTGTATAACAGATAACCGCCACAAATATGAAATAAGTGTACACCAAATACTTAGACCAAAACAAGTTATACTCTTGAAAAAGATGATCATAAAATTTAATAGAAATATAGATAAAACATATTATCAAAAAAGTTTATCAAACAAATATTGCACTTCAATATTATGTGTCCTCTGTGTGTGTGTGTGTGTGTGTGTGTGCTTAGCTTTCCTGACATTCCTCGTAAAAAAGCTAACTATTCCCCCCATATATCTCCGAAAGCTAACTACAGTTCCCAAACAATTTTAATGGGTTAACATACGCTTGATTTTGATACACAACTCGTTATGTTCATTGAGCACGTGGTGTAATGTAGCGCACCGTTCGTTAGGTTTCATGCGGTTGTCCGGTGCTATAATCGACTCGATATCCTCATTGACTTTATGAAAGCGCATACGAAAATAGTAGGCCAGTGTATTGAAGTGACCGTACGATATATAAATGAGCGCTGAATTAAAGTAACACCAAATGGTCAATACAATGGCCCACAACAATGTGTAAGACTCCGGTACCGATTGAGACACAAATCGCCTGTACGCCACCCACGAGAACATCATTGAGCCGAGAACAGCCCTAATATTAGTAAACAGTGCCATTTGGGCCAACGCTTTCTTGGTCCTCGAGAACCAGTGATCAGTCATTTCGGTGTCCAAACCCATAATAGAGGGCGGAATGAAGCCCTTGAATACAGCGAAAGGTGCCAACCAGTGGTTCCAACGAAGTTTTTCAGCTCTATAGAAGAGTCGGGAGATAAGAAACGAGTAGATGGACCACAAAGTTAGAGCCATAGTGAACTGTTTGGCCGGACGGGCGGATGCAGCCTCGCCCAATAGATTTCGTGTGTCTATATTGTCCACAAAAGCCAATAGTATGTTTCGGGCGAATACAACGGTCATCAATACGTAAATAAAGAGACCGTACAGTCGTTTGGTCGGCCGTTTCATTTTACCCTTGATGTTGCCCTGTAGGTAGTCCTCGATGCTCTGCGATAGCAAACCAAAGTAACGCAGATAGCGGTCAATCTTAAAGATTTTGTCGGTCGGCAGATAGCCCTCGGCCAGAACCACCTGTTCCTTACCACCGGCCTGATTGAAATACGGCATACGACTTGGTTTACTCATGTTTGGTGTCTAGCAATCTGGTTGGTTGTCTGTCTTTATTTTTTGTTGGTTTGGTTGGTTTTTCTGAAATGATTTAAAATTTATATCTCCCGGTGCTTTATTAGATTGACCAAAATGATAGTAACCAAAATAGCTGGTAATTTATGAGCAAAACAACAGTCAGAAAAAAATGTCTCAAATATTAGTAAAATATTTTTTTTGCAAAAATACCTTACAATTAAAATAGGATTTGAATAACTTTACTAAAAATATTTATATATATACAGTATTTTTTTGAGCGATTAATTTTGACAACAAAAAATATTACTTTTTAAACCACAAAAATCACATCAAATAAATAACTTTTTATTTATTATTTATTTGTTTATATTTATTATCAATATTTATTAGTAAAGCTTTCAAAAAACTATGTATAAATTAAACCTACGATAAACATAGTTATAACAAAATACAATACAATGATAATAATAATAAATTCTTAAATAAAATAAATAATAATTATTATTATTATTATCTAAAATAAAATATTTTAATGAACTTTTCAATGTGTGTGTATATAATTTTACTAAGTTGTCAATAATATGTACTGGATGATTTTTTATTATGTTTGATTAGCTAATGAAAACTTATTTTGCATAAAATATTAGCCAATGAGAGCATAATTAGACAATAATAATAAATAATTATATTATATAAAATTGGTCTCAATATTGGAGCTAAACATTTATATTGCACGCAAATTAGCAATTTTTAACTAAAAATTATAAACTACTACTATATAAATTAATGTGTAGACTTTTATTTAATATTTATAAATATATTTTAATGTTTTTTATACTGTATATGCAATATAATATGAGACTTATTGATTGTGGCAAACAATATACAGTATTTGCAAAGACATAAGATATACAATATTTCATAAGAATTATATACATATATAAAATAAATTTATATATATTTACAAATTTATAAATTTTATTTAAAAAATTTAATTACATAAAGATATTTTATTTCGGTTTGCTATTCACTATAATTGACACTGAAATCAATAAAATTATCATTAAATATATATATATATATTGAATATAAATAACAATTTTTGTCTTAAGACTTTTCATAAGATAAACATTATTATTCAATAATTATTATAATTTTAATTACAAAATTGTTGTTTTTTGATAGATAAGCTCTCTTTTTAAGGTTAGGTAATCATATATTTTTGTTTTTTAGTTTCTTAGTTAAAATGAATTTATATGAAAAATAAAAACTATAAATAAAATATTGCTTATACTCTATATATGATATGTATGTTATCCTCATTCATAATAATCTATATTCAACTTGCAATCCTTAATGAACTATATATTTATACTTTATAAGTATATATGTACTGTATTTATATTTATTTATTTATTTATATATAGATATAATTAAAACAAAAAATGATATTTTGCTGTTTGCTTTTGAATACTAAATAAACTAATAAATATTATATTTTGTATTTTCAAAAGTTTTACTAGTATAACACTCAATCATATAGATATAAATAGTAAAATTAATAAAATATTACTATTTATATATAATATTAAGGCCTAATTTTTCTAAACTATAGAAACAAAATTACATTTTATTAATTTTGTTAAATAATTTTATCTTCATATCAATCGCACATAAATTACTTTAATTATGCATTTATAGTGTATGAATGTCCCACTGTTTTATAAGTGTTAGTAAATTATATATAAATCATTTACATTAATAATCTATGCTATTATTAGATATACGTATTATACAATTATTTGTAATCTATGTTATTTTAATTGATTTTATGTTAACCAATTGGATTTGTTGTGTGCATAATATTTAATTTGAATCAAAGAGTAAAAATATGTGATAATTTATCTCATTTTTATCATATGTTGCGTTAAAACATATGTTATATACTATTAAATACTAAAAAATCTAAGCCAAAGGCTTATACCAATCAAACAGTATAATTAAATTTTTTGATGTTATGCTTATGTTTTATGATATATCATATATTCAATATAAAGTTGTGTTATATAAATATAAATGGTTTGATTTATAATAAAAAACAACAAACTTATAAATCATTTTTCTTGTAATAGTAATTATATCGCCTTTACTATGAATTAATTCAATAATTTTCTCACACAAATGTTTTGCCACAAAACACATAACTACATAATTATAATTATTATTCAAAATATATATCTGTTTGTGTGAGTGTAATGAGATTTTATTAAATTATATCAATAGTATTAATGTTTAAAATAATACTTTACAGATACAGTATATATATTTTTAACTTACAGGTATATAAAGTTATATATGAACATTAAGCTAACACATAATTTAATTATACAAACGAAAAATAAAAGCATTTAAATTAACATTGAATTAAAAACATTATTATTCTATGGCTAGAAGAAAATCATGATTTACATATTTAACATTTTAACCATATATATCGTTAAATAAAATTAAAAATAATCATTTTTATTATTATTATTATTATTTTCATTAAAGTATTGAGTAATTGAATTGTCAAAACAGTTTATGAAACATAAGATTTATTAGTGTACTGTGTTTTCTCAATGTCTCTGATTTATGGGCGATATTTATACATATAAATAGAGTTTTTTTGGTGTTATTTTGCTGTTGTTTTTTATTTTTATTATTTATTATTATTATAAAATTAAAATTGCAATTTTATTCATTATCATAGTATTAATAATAATAATAAAAATGTACAGTATATGCAGAATTTTTTAAAATAAAAAATAAGTTTAAATAAGTTTTTTTTTTGTCTTTTTAAAATGACATTTTGCTTGAGTGTCTATCAATTTATGTTATCATCAATTAAGTGATAATAATAATAAAAATAATAATATGACTTAAACTTATATTATTTTTTCTCTTAAAATAAAATCTATGCAAATAATCTAACTTATATTTATATTATTCAATATATCGGACTAATAATTTACATGAATTTTTTTCTTAAATTGTATCACTATTGACACTTGAAGTTCATTGAAAACATGGAAATATATAGTACAGTAGAAAAATAGCTTCAAATAGTAAATTTAAAATTATTATTATTTTTTAAAATTTCATTTAAATAAACAATTATAGTCCACACAGTTTTTATTACGAGACAACTCCCAATCCCAATATTATAGCAAAAATCATTTTAAAAATATTATTATTATAATAATTTAATAATAGTAATAATTTTAATAATGATGATATTGATGATAGATTTAATTACTAAACAAAAATACTGTATAAACATAGATAACAAACAAAATACAGTTTGATGATTTAAAATTTAATTTTAATAAGTGTTAAAACAATTTAAATTTTTTTTATTATTACTACTACTGTTTTCCACTATTAATAATAACACTTAATTCAAGGGAACTGTCAATCAACATAAGGAAAATTGAAAAAATTGAAAAAAAATATTTTTACTTTTTGAAAAATTTAATTTCAATTTGCATTTTGCTAAAAAAAAGTTTTTTTTGCAATTTTTTTTGTTGGTATTCAAATCAATAAACTAATAAAAAACATACGCAATTTTATGCCAGGTGTTAAGTTTTAAATAAAATTAATAGGGCATTATTACTTAAATGCTAACCAATATATATGTTTTATTTTTTCTATCAATGTTTCAAAAAAAACTATTAATGCAGATAATAATTTAAATGCTAATAATGTGTGTAATAGGTAAAATTTTAATGATTAAATTTTAACAAAATTTTTAATCATTACATGTAAAAATTTGTATATTTACATAAACTAATTAGTATAATAAAAATTAATTTCTAATATTTTAATCTGCAGATATATTAATAATATGCAGAAGAAAAAATATTTAAATTCAAAATTTATTATTCAAAATATTTATTATATGAAAATAGTTGATAATATATTTGTTAAGTAATTTATTAGTAGTTTTTATTGTATGATAAGTATGTTTTTTTAAACGTATCTCTAAATTAATATTTGTCAGTTGTGTTTGGCTAATGAAACTCAAAAAATTGGTAAAACATGATATCATTACTGCAGCTTTAAATGTGGATTGTATTAAATGTTTAAAATAAAGGACAGTTATTTTGAGATAGGGTGTTCCTCTTATTACTTATACTGTATATATTGTACTGTATATAAGTGTTTCAGATTAGTATTCAAATAGCGAGAAAATGGTGTGACATTAGCTTTTCAACTATAAATCCAAGCGTTTAATTAATGATTGTTTTATGCTATTATTGAACCTCATCTTCAAAAAAAAAAACAAAAAAAAACTAAAAAGATTAATGATTTTTTTGTTAAGTAAAACTAACTGCAATATAATAAATGTTATAATAAATTTTAATTGAATAATGAACAATTAAAAACAAACTTTAATGCTTTAATTTATAATTTATTTTATATAATAAATCAAATATATATATATATATATATAAATTCAATACTACAATATCTAATAAAATAATAATAATAAGCAATAAACTATCCATTAATAAAAAATTATACCAAATTATCACTGTAAAAATATATTGTTGGCTAAACTTTAACTAGAGTTTAATAAAAATAAAACATTAAATCATGATTTTGAAATTTTGTTTTTAAAAAATTATAGCCTAAAAGTTTTACCAAAAAATATGCAAATATTTTAAAAGGTTACTGTATAACAATGTAAGATATTGTATTTACTAAAATAGTCAATACTAATACTAATATTATTATTATTTAATAATAGTTATAATGAAATATAAGTTTTAATTGACTTTTAAATGTAACGGCATTCACAAGTCTTATCTAAACTAATCTAATAGTCATAACTGTATTTTAAATTTATATTATTATATAATTTGATGAATTAATCTGATAAATGTCAAATAACAATAATAATAACAACAATTATTTTTTGATATAAAAATTATTTATAAATAAATGCATTAAACATTTCTTTGATAATATCTTTCTTTTTAAAAATGTAAACAAACATAAAATTATAAGTTTTATTTTAAAAGAAGTCGTACTTAAAATTAAGTTTTTAAAATTATCGGTTTGCGTGCAGTTTGACTATTATTATTATTATTTATTTATTAATAAAATTAATATTAATATTAATAATGTTATATATATAAGTACAGTTACCTTAAAACTTATATTATATATTAGATAACTTATTATAAAATTTATTTATTCTTTAATATTATTATTATTCATATTTAATGAAATATAAAATATTGATTTATAAAAATTAAAATATTTTTTTTTGTGTTTTTTCTTATATTACTATTATTATCATTAAGAAAAATTCTATAATAATATTTTGCATAATTTTGTTACACATGATTCTCCTATTTAATGCTTTAATATAATAAAAACTATTATTATAAAAATAATAATAATCATTATTATTATTATTAAGTAAAATCTATTTTTATTAATTTTATTATTATATAAATTGCTTATGTATTACAAATATTTATTTGATCTGTAGATGCAAACAACCGGTGCTGAAGAAACTGTCAGAGAGTCTGACATTAATAATAATAATAACAATAATAACAATAATGGCGAAACTTCACTAATCTTTGAACAAGATTTAAATGATAATCATAATAACTACCATCATCAGCATCATCATCATCAACAACAACAACATAAATCAATGGTTGATTTAAATAATCAGTCCAGACTTATAGATAAGGTATATATATAGTATATATAAATGTATATAAAAATTTAGAAATTTTTATATAAATTTATTAAACTATATATTTATTATATAATCTAAATAAGGACTCAATTTACAAGTAGTTTTATTAATTAGCCATTAATTATGTCAATTATGTCACGTCATGTTTTATAAATATTAATATATATATACTATATATAAATATATACATTTAGTGCACCCGTAGCTCAGCGGTGGTCGAAAAGGGTAAATACCTGTTAACATGTGAGCCACAGATTAAAACATTGTTAGACTGTATATATCGCGGAAACAAGATATCCCGTATGTATGAAATTCAATAACAATACGGAAATATATATTTTTTAATATTTTATTTTCAATAGTAATGTTATTTTTGGGGTTTCTGTTGTTATCAAAAATTTTGATCTCTTTTTTGTTGTTTGTTATCTATAGAAGACATGGACTGTTTGGGTCTTATAAGTCCATACACTGGCACTTATGAGTGGTCTACTTATAGTCAGGTTTTTCAAAATAAGATAATTTCAAATCAAAAAAACCAATTTCAATGTTATTTGTGTATTCAGTTTTTTGTTGTTTTGTTCAAATCGGTTCTTGTATTAGTTGTAGTAATAGTATAGTCATAAAAGTGTTTTTTAATAAAAACTATTTTTCAATTTATTATTATTTTCAAACTCTTTTTATAATATATATATAATATGTTTAAAATAGATTTTATTTCGTATGAAAACCTTCGGGTCGGGTCTGGTTTCGATTGGCTGTCAACCAAACAATAACACAATAATTGCTTTATTTAGCCGAAATAATTTCAAAGTAAATTTTCAATTGAATAAAATTCAATTTGATTTATGTGTTTGACTATACATACCTTTTTTAAAGTAATATAATAATAGTAAAAAAACCTCTAAAACTAATAAATGTTATCTACTGTACTATTATTTTTATGGCTTTGAAAATAATGTCAGTTAACTATTGCTGAATACGCGTGTTATCACTACTCTATGGCTGTGGTGCCCATCTTTGACACCACTGAATCCAATACATGGAAATATATTTTTCAACAAAGTTAGTCAAACATTATTTTATACATTATATCGTATACTAAATATATAAATTACAGTATTTCATAAATAAATTTGGACAGTAATAGTCATTACACCACAAACCCATACTGTCTGTAATAAAATAAATATATAAATTGTTTGCTTTAACACTACAGTTGAGCCCAAGTGTGTGATCGTCGACTCAAACGAGAGGGCCAAACAAGTGATGGGATCCGTCAGATACAAAGTGGAGAGTCTAATCCTAACCAGTGATCACTTATATCCGGACACCAAACTGTTTGCCGAAAGAAAGGGTCCGATTATTATTGATATTTATATATAGAATAGTAGTATATAAACATAATTTCCCATTTAATTTACAAATAAAAAAAACACTTAAAAAAGTCTAAAATAAAATTTATGTTTTTTATATATTTTTTCTGGAAATAGGGATCAATGTCTATGCATTCAAAGAGATTGAGGTAAACAATATAAAAATAAAACTTATTAGACATTTATTTGAATTAAAATACACTAAAAGATAGTAAATAAAATATAGTGTAATTGTATGTCTATTTTATGTATTGTAGAGAATGGGAATTATAGATTTGCAGCCATTTGTCGTAAGTTTTAATTTATATATTTTTTTTGTTGAGAAAAAAATAGTTTTATACGAAAAAAATATTTCTATAATAAATAAAATTAATTTTGCTTTTTATTAATTTTTTCAATATATAGATCCCGAAACTAACAGATTTAGCGAGTATTTTACTTTATTTTGTTTGTTTTGTTTATTTATTTAAAAAACTTTTGATAACTATTTTTTAATACATTACACACATACTGTACTAACTACTTATGTTGTTTACAGTATATAAATATTAATATATTATATGTTTTTAATTTATATATTATGAAAAGAAAAAACATTAGATTTTTTCATAAGAATTGATAAGTGAGTCATTAATTAAATATTTATTTTAATTTTTGTTTTTTTCATTCACTTAATTATGGTATCATCTCTTTAATGGTGAAGTCATCTCATATACGAGTGGAACGACAGGAAATCCTAAAGGAGGTAAACCCTATCTATTTGTATATACTTTTAAGATATAAAATTTATTATTATTATTACAAATTACAAGTAGTTTTTTAAAGAATTTTTCTTTGAAAACTTTTATTGTTTTATTTTGAAAAATATTTTTTTATTAGATATTTAAACAATTTTTTTTATCTCAAACATTAAGCCCTCTTAACTCACGGCAATCTCGTGGCCGCCGTATCGGGATTTCTCTTGCATTTAGTAATTATTATTATTATTTATATAACACAAAACAAGTAATTATTGCCATCACATGAAAAATCTCTAATTTTTTAGTGTTTATTTAAGAAAAAATTTAATTTAAATGTTGATTTAAATGTGTATAAAATAAATTTTTTGTTATTATCTCAATCTTCAAGTGTCAGAATTAGTACTTTTAAGACTCGTGTTTTGGTTTATATATATATATTTCAAGCAAATTGTTGTTTAGTTTACTTTGATTTTGTTTTATTTATTTATTTGTTGTTTGCTTTGATTAGCGTATACTCTAATAGGACATACAATAATAAACAGAAGCAAATAATATAAAACAAAACAACTAAAAAAATAAAAAAAAATAAAAATTTAATTTATTATACGATAATCTTCACATAAAACAGGATTCACATTTCGATCTAAAGGATGAAACAATGATATCGTATTTATCGTCCGCACAGCTCAGGGAACGCATATTAAAAGTTAATTAGTTTTTTTTATTTATATAACAAAAAAAATCTATTTCATTAAAATAATTATATTTATTTATATCATATATATATCTATCATAAAATATCGGAATTTATAAATAAGATTTTTGTTTATATTTTTTAAAAAATTATTTGTTTTAGTTATTTTAGTTTAATTTATCTAATTCTAAAGGCCTGTATGTTCTACAGTGGGGGTCGTATTGGTGTATATTCTGGTGATTTTAAAGATCTGTCCCGCGATTTACCCGTACGTGTATACCGTTGATATAATAATTATAATATTATTATTATTGTTGTTATTTATATCGTGATATTCTCGTAGTCACGTAATGTATAGTTTTGCATAACTTAATTAATAATATCTAACTTATATATACAATTTTGTTATGTATGTGTTTGGGAAACTCCTAATAATGTTTAATAATATAATAATACTATATTATTATTATTATCACAGGTCCTGATGCCGACTGTCATGTATTGTGTCCCGAGAATACTCAATAGATTATATAATAGGGTTAGCGTTTAATTTAAAAATGTTTGTTGTTTTTGTTAATACTATTTTTATTATTTATTAGCAAAATAATTAATTTATTAATTAATTAAACTTGAAAAATATAAAAATAGACTCATGTTTTTATCTTATTATTATTATAATTATTATTATTATTTATTAAATATTATACAGTAAATTATATATTGAGTTGTTATGTAAAAGGGTTATTCATTAATCTCGCGCATGGGGTTTTTGCTATAAATCTTAAACGGAGTGAGATATATTTATTTTGTAAAAAGTGTATTAAAATATGATTTACGCGTGATATCATAAAATATAAAATTTTTTATTTTGATAACGTGATCATATTTATGACGGGCTGTTTGTAAACCACTGTGTCACAACCTAACCTATAAATGATAGAATAAAATTTCAATAGCAATTTTTTAAAGCCTGACTTAGAAAATTATGGGAAGAAAAAATTTTTAAAATTGGTCGAAAAATAAATTTTTTATGGCTTTTCAAACTTGTGAAAAAACACATTATATAAAATTGTCAAAAATAAAATGACGTTATTTATGGATAGTATACACTTATAAGATAAAGATTTTAATACTATTACTTATTCTAAAAACTAAATTTTTTTATGTCAAATATTTTTTTAGATATTAAAATTACAATAAAAACATAGCATTATAATTTGATAATGTAATTTAATTTTAAATTTAATTATCTAAAAAAATATTAGACATAAAAAAATTTTGTTTTTAAAATATGTATTAGTATTAAAATCTTTATCTTATAAGTATATACTATCTATAAATAACGTCATTTTATTTTTGACAATTTTATATAATGTGTTTTTTCACAAGTTTGAAAAGCCATAAAAAATTTATTTTTCGACCAATTTTAAAAATTTTTTCTTCCCATAATTTTCTAAGTCAGGCTTTAAAAAATTGCTATTGAAATTTTATTCTATCATTTATAGGTTAGGTTGTGACACAGTGGTTTACAAACAGCCCGTCATAAATATGATCACGTTATCAAAATAAAAAATTTTATATTTTATGATATCACGCGTAAATCATATTTTAATACACTTTTTACAAAATTAATATATCTCACTCCGTTTAAGATTTATAGCAAAAACCCCATGCGCGAGATTAATGAATAACCCTTTTATTTCAATGACAGGTTATATCTAAAGTTAGAGGAAATTGGGTTCGCAGTCGGGTTTTAGACTTTGCCCTCAAATCAAAACAGCCGGAGATTGTAAAGTAAGTGCTATTTTTATGACAACCCCAGCAAAAAACAAAGAAAAAATATTACACACTTTATCTGATAGACATCTTTGTCCAAAATGCATGTTTAAAATCTATAATAACTTTTTTATTTAAAACAAAAAAAAAACAAGTTAACAAACAAATAACACATTTCATATATATCTCTGTATGTATATATCTCCCTGTCCTCTATCTATCTTTACATCTACAATGCTCTCTCTCTCTCTCTCTCTCTCTCTCTTTCTCTCTATTTTTAAACCCTACTATAAAAGAGCGGTCAATCAGTCGTCTTCAATCTGGGATCGAGTGGTCTTCAAGACCGTCAAACAGACATTAGGCGGTAATCTAAAGCTATTGATCTCCGGGTCGTCACAGATATCGCCGACTGTTTTAAATTTTATACGAAACTCATTTGGATGTATGGTAGGTATGATATGATTAATTTTCAACAACAATAACAACAACAAAAATCTAGTATTCAGTATATTATACTGTTAGCTATCATTTTGTTTGGCAATTTGTTTGCTAATTTGCCGACAATTTGTATCAATTGCTGTCACTATTTTGTTTTTGTTTATTTTGCTGTAAAAAATTACAAAAAAAAATTAATAAATTATATTTCTATAAAGTTAAACGAGAGGTCAACCCACCAGTTATCGGGTGTGAACCTCGTGTCCAAAACACCCAACACATGCGATGATGAGTTGATATCATATTTTTTATTTGAAAAATTAATTTTATTTTTTTATTAAGTTGTTCAAATATTATAATATATACCATTGAAAATTAAGTTAATTTTTTTTTATATAAGAAAAAATACCAGAATATCATGTGTTTCACTAAAAAAAAATAACATTTATTTATGAGCCATAATCAAGAAATAATTTTTTTAAAATATATAAATATGTAAATTAGTCTCTTATCTCTATATTTAATTAAATATTAATTGCACCCATTTTTTAGGTGCACTTCTTTTTTTTGTTGCCTTCAAATCAATAATATCATAATATACTGTTATAATAGTAAGTCTCATAAATTATTTGTTATCAATAATTATCTTCTCTTTTTTTAATAATTTTATTATTTGGTGTACTATATAACAAAGCAACAACAAAAAATATGTGCAAACTTTATTAGCATATCATTTGCCAATTTATTGAATATACTTATTATATACAGTATTATAATAATGTTTTCATAACTGCTGACTGACCCAAACACACACACACACACACAACAGCACCGGTATATTAATATTAGTCATATAATTACAGGTCTTGGAGTGCTATGGTTTGACTGAGTGCTCGGCATTTGTTACAATCACCCAATGCGGCGATCAATCATCCGGTCAGACATTGTTTTGCTTTAATATAAATATTAGTTGTGTATTACATAACATACTTTAATATATTATGTGTTGTTAAATAATGTTTCAGTTTTGTTATTGTTGTTTAAATTGCAATACTTTTTTTTTAAAAAATCCATTATTATTCTGTATATGACTTAATATTATTGGTTAAAATCACAATTTAATTGTCTTATTACTACTAAATATCATAGTTTTAATGGATATTACTATTATTATGATTATGATTATTAGCTTAACATTTTAATTTTTTAGTTAAACCTATCATATTACATGTAAATCATTTTGTTTTATTAATGTACTGTATTTTATATATATATATATAATATAATTTAATATCCTATTTAAGATAAATATTTAAATAGTTTAGTTTTTGCTTTTTTCAAATTAAAATATAAATTAAATTTATTGCCTTCTTTATATATACACTATATATATACTGTATAACTCTTATATATAAATTTATATATGTATATAGTACAGCAAATAAATATATTATGAAATTGGATGTAATCAATCAGGAATTTAAAGCATTTATCATAATTTTGAAACATTGTAATATACAAAAAAAATTGTTTGCATTTTTATTGATATATGATACAGGTATGCCAACATTGAATATAATAGACAATATAACTAAAATAGTATATAATATAATATTTCAAATGTTATGAATTATTTTATTTGACTCTTTTGTTTGGATGATTGCTAACAAACCATAACATAATAAACAATAGTATTTTTTTAATTGAGTCAATAACCAGCATAACTAATGTATAATATAAAAAATAATAGGTAGTAGAGGTATATTATATATGTACTTTCAAATCGATGATATTTTAAGAAAACGTGATAAACATTGAGTTTTTGTTTGTAAAAAATTGCCAGTGAAAATTGATACCCAATCGGTTATGTCTAAGCAAACAAGTAATAAATAAAAATGTTTGAATATATATTAAATAAGGAAATAAAATGTTGGAAACAACATAAAAATGCAAATAACTGAACAAAAAATTTACTAATTATAATAATTATTGATTTTGTAATTTACATAATAGGCTCTTTGGGTCCGCCGTTGAGCTTTAACTCTGTTAAGTTAATGGACGTTAAAGAGTTGAATATTGTGGCCAATAAAGATGGCATAGGAGAGGTAGGATAAACATGATAGAGGAGAGGGTATACATGTATAGAAAGGGTAGTCTTTTTTAAAAACCCTATTCAGAACGCCTGAACAACAAATTTGAATTTTTAAGATTAAAAATAACTATTAAAAAACAAAATAAAATTTTTTTGATTTGTATTTTTTTTGGTGCCGACAACATCAACAACAAAAAGATATGCGTTAAGGGAACCAACGTTTTCTCCGGATTCTACAATAACCCGGAGTTCAGCGAACAACTGTTCGACGCCGACGGTTGGTTTCATACGGGAGACGTCGGCCAATGGCTTAAGGTTAGGGTTGAGTCCATATCTAACATATTACACACACATTATTAGCAACAGTTATTATTGTTGTTGTGTCACGACTGGCCAAACAAAATAAATAAAACAATTTGAAATGAAAAAAATAACAAAACAAAAAACAATAAAAACATATTGTTAATAATGTAACACTAATTTACTTAATATATATAATTATATCATAATTTTATTATTTATTTATTGTTTGTTTGTTTTCTTTAATCTAATGCCCACAGAACGGGACATTGAAAATACTGGACCGAAAACAGGATATCTTTCAGTTGACTAATTCATTGGAGTCGGATCTGGTCTGTCCCGACAAGGTTTGTTGCTGTTGTTGTTGTTGTATAGTATCCTATCCTATCAATTAAGGAGATCTTATGTGAAAATAAAAGAGATAATCATTTTATTTTTTGTTGTTGTTGTTGTTGTTGAGAAAAATACAATTTTCATTAATTTCCACTAATTAAGTGTAATTTTATTTTCTCTTATTTTTTTTTGGTTATAAATTTTCTATATGTGATGTGATATCAGATTGAAAACATATATATTCAGTCACAATACGTGGGACAGGTCTATATCGATGCCAACTATTTTCAGGTAATTATGTATTTTAAATAAAAAAAAGTTTTTTTCTCTTTCTTTCTTCTAATTCGTTTAATTATTTATATGTATTATTTCTCCTGAAAGCAAATTATACCATTAAAATAATTCACATATAAATTAAAAACTTTATATTTTAAATGTTTTTTATATATAAATTTATTTATTTGGCAATCATTATAATCGTCATCACTATCATCATCATTATCATCAACAACAACAACGTCAACAACAACTTACAAACTCAGTCATCGTTATTAGCTATTATCATACCAGACGTGGACGGCATAAATCTATGGTGCAGTGAGAACAACATGTTGTTATCGGCAGCCGAGGCCTGCAAGAATGTGGTACTGTATATATCATATATAACTATTAGCTCAGGCCTATCACAGTTGCCCACTGCTCAATGATGATGAGATGATGGCGACTAATACGATATGCCTGATTTTATTTTTTTAAATAGTTTGTCGGTTCACTTAATTAACTACCCGTTCCTCTCATTTTTTTATCTTTTTTTTCTATCTGGTGTTTGGTTTTAGGCCTTTAAAAATACTGTATTGAATGATATACTGAATATTGGAAAGCGTGAAGGATTATCATCTACTGAACAGGTTTTTCACTTTTATTAGATATTTATATTTTATTACATTTGATTTCGTGACATCTTTTTTTAATTTATTTATTTATTTAATGAATAGTTTTTTTTAAATAAAGTTGATATCTATAAATGTCTAAACTTTTATTTAATTTGTTTGATAAAAAAATCTAAACCTAACCTCTCAATGAATTAGGTAACGGATATCGCTCTCCATAGCGAGCCGTTCACTCAAGAGAGCGGTTTTCTGACGCCAACCATGAAATTGAAGAGACATGAGTGCAGAGTACACTTCAGGGAACTTATCGAAGAAGTCTCAAAAAATAAGGACAAACAGGAGGTCCAGAAGATTATCTAATAATAAAAAACTATAAAAAACAAAAAACAAGAAAATGAGGGAAAGTTTTATCATTTAAAAAATATTTCCAAACAACAAAAAAAACATTTTTCTTCAAACAAACCAAAAATAATAATTGCTTTCGTTTCACACTTTCATTTATCAAACACACAACTAATTGCTATCACTTAATCAATCAATTAATTTCGATTTTTATATATATATATACTGTACTTAATATTTTGCAATGTGATTAATGTACACAAAAATTTATTATTTACTCAAAAGATTGTATCACTGGAGAAAAAATATATTAATTTTATTTAATTTTGTTTGCTTGAGATCTAAGTTTTGTTACCCAATGAATCTCTCTTTCCTTCTCTCTCTCTCTCTCTCTCTCTCTCTCTCTCTCTCTCTCTCTCTCTCTCTCTCTCTCTCTCTCTCATCTCACTAATTATATGAAATGTCAGCAAAGAGATTATCAGTTATAAAAAAAATATTTTTGTTAAAATCCTGTATATTTATAATATCTATTTTGTATATACAGTTCTATGTAATAATAATTCAAAAGTGTAATGACCCATTATCTACTGTATTGATTAAAATTAAATCCATTTATTATTTATTATTATATATTATTATATTAAAGTCGTAATAATGTATTTCCTACAGAAAAACTAATTAATGGCTTATTAATTATTATTATTATTGAATAGATTTATACCGATGATTATAATCCGGTAATTATCGGATATAAAAATGGGTGGAGTATAATAATCAGTGCAATTTGTTATTTTGTCAGTAATTTATTAAAAAATTAAAATTTATTGAATGAAATTTATTTGCTCTTCTAAAAATATATATTGAAAATGTAATATCAAATTTAATAATTTTTTTATTATTATTTCTTAATATTGTTTATTAATTTCAAGAAATTATGATATATTTATTACTTTGATTTAAATACTTTTTGATTTTTTCATAATTTTTAAATTTACAAAAAATATTTAATTATAGGATATCTTTTAATTTATTATCAAATGGGTTTGTTATCTTTACATACCTATGTGTGTGTATGTGTTTGTGTATATAAGTGTGTAGGTAGGTATCAATAGGTATATACTGTATATTTTACATAATTTACTTGTTTTTGTAGAAAAGTATGTTTAGTTAGATATCTTAGTCTATAATAATTGTATGAGACATCCAAAAACTGCAACAATAATAATACAGTATCAGCACCAGTATTATTAGGTCTATAGATAGTCCTAATCATTAATTATGATGTCTATCTCCCATATCGTAGTAGTCATCGATAAATGTAATAAATCTTATTTTGAGTATTACTTTAAAAAATCGTATCACACAAATATAACAAATAAAACAAAATAAAATCATCGATCGATGGTTTTTCACCCGAAAAAAAGGCAACAAAATTATAAGAGAAAAAAATAAGAGATAAAATAAAAACAAAAGTCTTAAGCCATTAATTAATAACTAAAGAACTGGTTTTTGTGAAATCATTTATTTCATATTTGGCTTCAAATTTATATATCATATATAATATAAATTAAATTTTAAGTTGTCTTGAGTTTAGTGTTGTTTCACATTTTACAGCTCATCTCTCTCTCTCTCTCTCTCTCTCTCTCTCTCTCTCTCTCTCTCTCTCTCTCTCTCTCTCTCTCTCTCTCTCTCTCTCTCTCTCTCTCATTCTCTCTACTGTTAAGTAGTGATCGGATAAGGAATTTACGGCAAAAAATTGAAATTTTTGTTTCACTAAAACAGAATTAGTGAGAGAGAAAAATTGTTTAAATTATTACTATTTTTCTAACAAAAATAACATTTTTGTTGCAGATTATAGATAAGATGAAAATAACATTTCTTCAAATATATTCAAAATTATATATATATTTATGTAATTCAAATAAGACTTAATTTATATATCTATAAATATAGCGAAAATCATGTAGGAAGTCATGAAAATTATATTAAATATTATTATATTTTTTTCAAAATTATAAATCCACACAAAAATTGCTGTTTTATTTTTTTCATTATATTTTAAAATATAACATAAAAAAGTAATTTATTTTAAATATCACTAGATTTATATAAATTAAAGTTTTGTTAAGTGCTTTGTTAATAACTTTACAATTATTTTTCTTATTTATTCATTTATAAGTATTCTACAATTGAAACTGTCCGAAATTAAAACAAATTTTAAAGTTAATTTATTCGAAAACTACAAATGATAAAAAATCATAAAATTTACATCTGTTTCATTGATTATCGCCTAATATTTAGGTAAATAAACAATGTCATTTTAAAAAATTTTTCATATGTATTTTTTGCAAAAAAGTAAAAATGACATTTTTTACATCATGTTATAGTTTTAATTGTAATTTGTTTAAACAAATATTTAAAAATACAATTTAAAATTAATCTTAAAGTACACTAACAGGACTATATTTACAACTAACGATAACTTTATATTCAGACTCTTTTATTGTTTTTTAAATTCTTTAAATCACATACTTTTAAATAAAATAAGCATCATAGATTAATTCAATTGTTTTTTTATTAAAATTTAAATATTAAATATAAACTATTTATTATATATTAGTATATATGTCATTTGATATAATAATTATAAAATTGATAGATATTTTCAATCAAATAATAAAATATGTTGAAATTATCACACATAACGAAAATTTTTTAGTTTTAAGATAAAATTATCTACTTAAATATAAATTTGTTTTTTATAATTCTAATCATTAGTAGATACTTATATACATTATTCATGAAAGAAAATTAAATATATCTTTAAAGAAAAAGTTAGACATAATTTTATAAGATATAGTACATGATTCAGCAAATTACAAAAAGTCATTATATTTATTTTTATATATTTGTCATTAAGAAGAAACAAGCTAGCTCTAACAGTGTGGCATTTAAAGTCAAGTATATTGTTAGACGGATAACATGATAACTTTAGATTTTTAACAATTATATGTAACAATATAATGCTAAACAATTTAGCTTTAGTTCTGACAATTATTTTATTATAAAATTTTAAATATTAATATTAAAATTTTGAAAACTTTTCTGAACAATCATCTAGGCTAATATTATTTAATGAAATATTATCACATTGGAATTTATTATTATAACATTTAAATAATCACTATAATTAAAAAATTTGTTTAGTCAAATTTGAATGTCTTTTACTAAAATGATAATAATTGGTAAAATATAGAAAAACTAAATTCAAATAATTGTAAAATGTAAATATAAATAATCGACCTTTTTTATTTAAAAAGAATCACATTTTTATCTTTATTAGTTGCATCATAATAATAACGTAAAAATTGATGTACTAAAACGGTCATTACTTGTTATATAATGCTTATATTTAAATTTAAATATTATTGACCAAAATTATAAATTTATTTATCTACATATTTATTTCATAACAAATAATTTTTTTTAAAAAAAGTTTTCATAAAAAAACTATAAAAATATTTGTTTTTGTTTTGCTATAACTTAAAATAAATTATATATATTTTTAAAATTTTAATTTCTAAATAATCTATATATTTATTATTAAACTTTATACACAAATAATTCTATAATATTTATTAAAATTGACACCCAAATATTTTAATTATATATAAATTTATATACATAAACAATTATACAGGTAGCATATTAATTGTATATGTGTGTCTTAACTTTAATAACAATATATATATATATTTTTTTTATATTGATTAAGATAAGTTATAATGAATTATTTTAATAAAATTATGACATTAAAATTTCTAAATATTTTAACCTTATATATCATAATCAATAATAAATCTACGAATAACTTGATTTTTATAAATAAAATTTTTTATGCGTTAAGTTGAGATGCATTTATCACTTTTATATCAAACATTAAACAAACTTTAGGTAATATTAATACCAGTTTTTTTTATAAATAAATTACTTATTAAATAGTTTATTATTATTATTATACTGTATTTACACACCAGTCATCCCAATCTATCAAAAATGAAAAAACACATTAAACTATCTATAATTAAGTTGTAAGTATTGATTAATAATAATTGTTATAATATTTTTTTTAAATGTTTTGATTAACAATAATAGTAATAAACATAAATAAAATATTTGAATGAATGCAACAAAAGTTTATAATTTTTTCTATTTTATACAACTTTATATTTAGTACTAATTTATGTATTATAAAACAATTATAATAATATGCTAAATATAAGGAAAAAAAACTATAAAATTGTAATAATTTGGGTAAACATTAAGGAAAAAATATTTGATTATACAAATCAGGCTATAATTATTGCCAATTAATCAATTATAATATACAATAAATGAAAATTTGAAATAAATAAATAACTAAATAAAATTCAGTAGTAATGAAAATCAAACAAATCTATTAATATTAACATTCATTAAACATATGATGCACTCTATGAGTGATATCATAAGCAATACATTTGTTTATTATTACAGTATTTTCTAAATAATGTTTTGAATACTGTATTTGTATTTCATTTGGAAAACAAATAATTTTAAATTATTTAAAAACCAATTAAATAAATGAATGACAAACTCATTGATTGTTTGTTTATATTTTGAAAGTAATGTTTATTTCAATTATTTACTCAATATTTTGAAATGTATTTAATGGCTGATAGAGTGATTTAAGGAATCAAAAATCCCGAATAGTGATGGTAGCTCAGACCCCCCTAAGTATCCCCATACTACCCACATAGCTGTCCGACCTCAGCAATTCGAGATATTCGACTTTAAAGTCGAAAATTATTTTTGACGTTATTTATGATTATGATACACACTTTCTATGTATTTTTCAATACTAATTATGATTATAAAAACTAAATCACATTATGTCAAATAGTTTTCGAGATTTGACTTTTAAGTCAAAAAAAATATTTATGAATATGAGATATATTATTTATGCAATTTCTAATACTAATTATAAATATTAAAATTCATTTTTAAAATTCATTAAAATTCATTGTAACATAGTTTTCGAGATATTCGACTTAATCAATTTCTTTTGAGGTTATTTATTATTAATATATATATATCAAACAGTTTTTGCGATCACTAATTATATTATTTTCTATTAACTGATTTATATAATAGTCAGGATCATTGTTATATAGTTTTTGAGATATTCGACTTTAAAGTCAAAATATATATTTGTGACAAAATAATTTAAGCATCTTAAATAATAATTAGAATTATTTTAATTTTAAATATTAAATTTAAAAAATACATTTGTATAAATTTATTATTTATTAAAAATTAAATACAATTTGATTATGACTAGAGCATTTATTTCACATATAAAATATTTTTAGTGATTAAAGATATTAACAAAATAATTAGATATATAAACGATTGATTAAAAACCAATAATTATAGCAAATGTTTTAGTCACATAAACACATATTTTGAAAGGTAGTCACATATTATCAAATACTATCACATATTATCACATATTTCGCATATCTGTAAAATAATAGTTGAATTGCATTTTTTATGTATTTTTGTATGTATTATTTGTTCAATTTTTTAAAAATAGTATTATTTTATCAATGAAACTTTATTTGTTAATTTTTGTAAACAAATCAAAAAAAAATAATGAAATGTTTTGTTATTTTCTAGTGTTTACTAAAAGACAATAGGAGTGAAAATGTTATTTAGAATAATTTAAATTTATACAAACATTTTAAAAGCTAAATATTTTTAATTTATGCGTTTTTTAAGTTTAAATAATAAAAATATAAAATATTACTTTATCATAAATTGTAACACAAAATTACTTTTATTAATTAATATATAATTTTTAATAATTTTATTAATCTATATAATCACATATTTTGACTTTTCAAAGCAATTATAAGCACATTTTTTACTATTTTAAGCAAATATAACCACATATTTTCATATTTTTAAGCAAATATTTCATTGAATAAAAACAGAATTTTAGCCACATATATCTAAAGTTACTAATTATGACTTAAAAATTAGTTTTAATATAATAAAAATAAGAATTATATTCTAAGTATTTTTAAATGTAATAAATAATATGTTTATATAATAAAATAAATGTATTAAAATTAAGTTTATAAATTATTTATAATGTAATTAATAAAATTTTTAATAATTAGATTAAGTTTAAAAAAGTTAGTAGACAAAAACATTGGTCTAACAATTTTTGGTGGATCATATATACCACTTGCTGTGGTTTTTAATCGAAAAGCACTTCGATTGCCATTTAGACATCATGCGGAATTTTTATTTTTTCGACTTTAAAGTCCAATATCTCGAAAAATATTTGACATAATGTGATTTAGTTTTTTATAATCATAATTAGTATTGAAAAATACATCGATAGTATGTCATATTCATAAATAACGTCAAAAATAATTTTCGACTTTAAAGTCGAATATCTCGAATTGCGGAGGTCGGACAGCTATGTGGGTGGTATGGGTAGACTCAGGGGGGTCTGAGCTACCATCACTATTCGGGATTTTTGATTCCTTAAAGAGCTCTACCAACCGTATTTAATAATAAAAATACATTAATTATAATAATAATAATAATAGTATTTAATATTCTTTGAAAAATCAATTATGGCATCAATTGTGGTGACAATTGAAGACATTTTCGATGAATTGTTGGTCGAAAACAATAGACTAATGAATGAGTTATTGTTTGCCAACAAATTGAAGAAGTTTTTGATTAAATTGATTGAAAAGTATGAATCGGTTATCGATTGCGAAGACAAACAACAATTCAATGATTTGATACAAAATATGGTAATCAATGGTAAGAAAAGTGTTGATAACAACAGCCACACAATCACTGATCAGTCGGATGTCATGTATGACAACAGTAATAATAGTTGCGTTTCATTGAATTTGCAAACTATTGCCACCAATGATGAAGACAACCAATGGTTACCAGAAGATACTGAAACACAAAATATTAAACAAACCAAAAGTGAACCGATATATCAATTAAATTCAAGTGAAGTGATGGGACCTAAAACAAGAAAATATGAGATGTGTTACGATTCAGCGACCAATCTATATGTTTGCCGTAACCCTAAATGCAACGGCAAATCGTTTGAAAAATATGATCAACTTTATCAACATATGAGGAATCATTCAGACAAACGATTCAAATGCCACGTTTGCGACAAAGGTTTCATAAAACCAAGTGATGTAAGAGTTCATCTGTTGGTCCACTCGGACACTAAACCATTTAAGTGTCCGCACGACGACTGCACTTATGAGACCAAATATAAGTCAGCCGTTGCTAAACACATAAAAGTCAGTCATAGAAATGAGCGACCATTTTCCTGCCCGATACCTGAATGTGGCCTTAAGTTTGCCGCAAAACAAAATTTGTTGATTCATATACAACGCCATTCAAATGAATACCCGTTTTGGTGTACTTTTGACGGATGCGACAAACGATTCAAAATTGAAAAATCTCTTAAAGAACATTCACTAATACATAGTTCGGCAAAAACATTGAAATGCTATTACATTGGATGTAATGAAATGTTTCGTACAATTTATAACAGAAAAAAACACATACATATCGTTCATAAGAAAACTAATTTACAGACAATGAAGTCATTTGATGATAACAATCATCTCCTTCTGCACACACATCGCCACTCCGATGAATACCGGTTTCGGTGTACTTTTAGCGGATGTGATAAACAATTCAAAATTGAAGAATACCTCAAAACTCATTCACTAATACATATGAATGTGAATAAAGACGATATTATTAATAGTTTGGAACCGACTCATGTCAATAGTGAAGATAATATCAACAACACAACTACTGGTCAGTCCGATGACATGTACGACAACAGTAATAATAGATGCGATCCATTGACTTTGCAATCTATTGCCACCGATGATAAAGACGACGAATGTTTATCAGAAGATTCTGAAACAAAAAATGTTAAACAAACTAAAAGAGAGCGGAAAAAGTCACTTAAAGACAATTCAAGTGAAGAAAAGAAGCAGAGAAATGCCATTAATGAAGATATCAATTGTTTGGAAACAACAGATAATATAAACAAATCAACCATTGGTCAGTCCGATGACTTGTATGATAACAATAGTTGCGATTCATTGACTTTGCAATCTATTGCAATCGATAATGTAGACGACGAATGGTTACCAGAAGAATCTGAAAAACAAAATTTTAAACAAACAAAAAGTGAACCAAAAAATTCAAATAATATCAAATTAGTTGAAGTGATGGGACCTAAAACAAGAAGATATGAGATGTGTTACGATTCAGCGACCAATCTATATGTTTGCCGTAACCCTAAATGCAACGGCAAATCGTTTGAAAAATATGATCAACTTTATCAACATATGAGGAATCATTCAGACAAACGATTCAAATGCCACGTTTGCGACAAAGGTTTCATAAAATCAAGTGATGTAAGAGTTCATCTATTGGTACACTCAGACACTAAACCATTTAAGTGTCCGCACGACGACTGCACTTATGAGACCAAATATAAGTCAGCCGTTGCTCAACACATAAAAGTCAGTCATAGAAATGAGAGACCATTTTCCTGTCCAATAGCCGACTGTGGCCTTACGTTTGCCGCAAAACAACAACTGCTTAAACATACACAACTTCACTCCAATGAATACCCGTTTCGGTGTACTTTTGACGGATGTGACAAACGATTCAAAGTCGAAGGATATCTCAAAGTTCATTCATTAATACATAGTTCGGCAAAAACATTGAAATGCTATTACATTGGATGTAATGAAATGTTTCGTACAATTTCTAACAGAAAAAAACACATACATATGGTCCACAAGAAACCCAATTTACCAAAATTTATATCATGTGATTGGCCCGGATGTGAGTACAAGACAAGAGCTCATTCATCTATGAAACCTCACAAACAAATGCATACCAATGACCGTCCATTTCAATGTGATTGGCCAGACTGTAACAAACGGTTCCGAAGATTACAACTACTCAATGAACATAAGCACATCCATACCAACGATAAGCCTCACGCATGTCATTGGCCCGGATGTCACTACCGGTGCAATGATACGGCAAACCTGAGAAAACATTTACGGACTACACATAAATAAATGCTATAATTTTATAATCGTTTAATTTAATAATATAATTGCCGATAATTAATTAAAATTAATAATAAAATATATAAATTTAAAAATTGTTACTGGTAAGTTATACGATAATAATAATTGTATTGTAAATATCTCTATATTTTAATAAATAACTGTATATTTGTATAAATATTAGCTGTAAACTGAAATTTTTGTTGAAAATATATACTAGGATAATTTTTAAATTTAAATATATTAGGTAAAATCTATTTTTAAAATTTAGAAAATAAATTATGTTTAATTAAAAACTTTTAAAAATTACGGCAATTAAATTAAATTCAGAAAAATTATAGTTTTATATTACATTTATTACATTACAGTATAATAAACAAAATACGTTTGCATTGAATGTCAAACTCATTGATTGTTTGTTTATGTTTTGAAAGTAATGTTTATTTCAATTATTAATCTATTTTTAAGAGTTTTTAATAAAATAATACAATTATTTTAAAATATTAATTATGGCATCAATTGTGGTGACAATTGAAGATATTTTCGATGAATTATCGATCGAAAACAATAGACTAATAAATGAGTTATTGTTTGCCAACAAATTGAAGAAGTTTTTGATGAAATTGATTGAAAAGTATGAATCGGTTATCGATTGCGAAGACAAACAACAATTCGATGATTTGACACAAGAGATGACAATCAATGGTAACTTAAGTGTTAGATATCATTCACCGGTACAGTCAGTGACCAAACAGTATAAGTGTCGACAAAACGACTGTACATTTCAGACCAATTCTAAGCCATATTATAACAAACACTTAAGTGTTAATCATAGAGAAGATAGAGAAGAGTCTCTGTTTTGCTGTCAAATACCCGACTGTGGCTTCACATGTGCTGATAAACACACTCTTCATCAACACATACAGCTTCTTCACTCTAAGGAAGAAAATGTCAATAATAGCGATAATATCGATCAGAGTTTGAATTTAAAAGATAAGAAATCAAAGCGCAAAGTCTTGAAGACGTATTCAGTCAAACGGAAACACGAGAGTATGGATGCGATTACCGGTAATGAAGACATCAATTGTTTGGTATCGATAGAAGTCAAGTGTGAAGATAATACCACTGACACAATCACTGGTCAGTCTATTGCTAGCGATAATGTAGACAACGAATGGTTACCAAAAGAGTCTGAAACACAAAATGTTAAACAAATTAAAAAAATAAAACCGAAGAAAACACTTACCGATGAAGACAATTCTTGTTCAGTAAAAGTACAGAATATAAAAAAATATGACTATTGTTACGATTCAGTGACCAATTTGTATGTCTGTCCACACGATAGCAAATCGTTTGAAAAGTATGATAGACTTTATGAACACTTTATGAGGATTCATGTGGACAGACGATTCAAATGCCAGGTTTGCGACAAAAGTTTCAAATCTGGAAAAGCTGTTCGCAATCATTCAGTTATACATTCGGTTACCAAACAATATAAGTGTCCGCACGACGACTGTAACTTTGAGGCCAACTATAAGAATTACATTGAAAAACACATAAGAATTATTCATAGAAAAGAGCGTCAGTTTTTGTGTCCAATACCCGACTGTGGCCTTACGTTTGCCGAAAAACAAAATTTGTTGATTCATATACAACGCCATTCAAATGAATACCCGTTTTGGTGTACTTTTGACGGATGCGACAAACGATTCAAAATTGAAAAATCTCTTAAAGAACATTCACTAATACATAGTTCGGCAAAAACATTGAAATGCTATTACATTGGATGTAATGAAATGTTTCGTACAATTTCTAACAGAAAAAAACACATACATATCGTTCACAAGAAAACCAATTTACAGACAATAAAATCATGTGATTGGCCCGGATGTGAGTACAAGACTAAACATCCCTCAGCTATGGTAGAACACAAACGATACCACGAAGATGACCGTCCATTTCAATGTGATTGGCCAGACTGTAACAAACGGTTCAGAAGATTACAACTACTCAACGAACATAAGCACATCCATACCAACGATAAGCCGCACGCATGTCATTGGCCCGGATGTCACTACCGGTGCAATGATAAGGCAAATCTGAGAAAACATTTACGAACTATACATAAATAAATATACCGGTAATACAATTGCCATTAATTAAATAAAAAAAATATTATTGATTTTTAATAAGTGATGATTAATAATGATAATAATGTTAACAATTGGTGATTATTGTACTTTTGATGAACATTACCCGCAGATCATCTCTTAGGTAAGTATTTTGTTTTGTGAAACACAGAACTCATTTGGTATATGTTTAAGACCTAAATCGATGTCACCATTTAATCCGTTGATATAAACACTAATATTACTGAAGACATCACTTAATGCCTGCATCTTCTCAGACTTAGTAACTTTCCTCTCAATATATTTTTGATACTAAAGTAACTTTAATAGAGTCAAGTCGTTCTCAAAATCAATTGAATCCATAGTTTTTAGTAAATATGACATTAATTTCACAACAAAATCAATCAATAGTTTAGTAAAATTTAAATTAAAACAATCACTACTAATGTCTTATTATCTCATTATTGGTTGTATTAGTTGTCAAAATAGCTCTCTATTTGCTCTTTTAGTTACTTCAATAACAATCCTAATGACATACACTCACTAAATAAAAAGTATATTTATTATAGAGTCTTACTCTAAGTTTATACAGTGTATTGTCTGCGTCCTTGAATATCATATAATGTTAGTAAACATATTACAAACATATGATATGATTGACAACAAAAAGTCAATTATTATATTTGTTATATTATTTTGATTTTTCAAACACCAGTTATGGCATCAATTGTGGTGACAATTGAAGACATTTTCGATGAATTGTCGATCGAAAACAATAGACTAATGAATGAGTTATTGTTTGCCAACAAATTGAAGACATTTTTGATGAAATTGATTGAAAAGTATGAATCGGTTATCGATTGCGAAGACAAACAGCACTTCAATGATTTGACACAAGAGATGACAATCAATGGTAAGAAAAGTCAATCATTGGATTGTCGTAATAATAGCGACAAAGGTTTGGATCAATTGGATAAATATGTCGACAGAAAAGATATCGTCAGATTTGCAAACCAGATATTGTCAACAAAAGTGAAGAAATCAAAAACATTAACAAAGATAAAGAAAATGAAGAATAAAAATGTGATTGTTTTTACTGGTGATAGCAATAGTTTAAGACAAACACTTGTTGACAACAAAGATATAGTTAACGACACGATCACCGATCAGTCAGTAGACAAATGTCGACAAATGGTTTGTACTGATGGTACTACTAATTGGGATCAAAATGATGTCCAATCTATTGGATGTAACGATGACTTTGATTGTATGTCATTTGGATCTGATATAATACAAAACAAAGAAAGGCTCGACAGCAGTGATAGACAGCAGAAGTTATTTGAAGACAAAATAAATTTTTCAAAGAAATCGTCGAGATTTCGAAAGAGTGACTTATATTATGAATCGGTGACCAATTCATATGTCTGTCCTCATCCCGAATGCAACAAATCATTTGCCGAATACAGATTACTTCACAAACACATAAAGTATGTTCACTCGCAAACAATCATCAATTGTAACGTTTGCGACAAGAGTTTCAAAAATCCCAAATGTCTTAGTGTTCATCTATTGCTACACTCGGATGTTAAGCCACACAAGTGTCCGCACGACGACTGTCCATACGCTTCAAGAAATAAACAGTTACTTAAACTTCATATAAAACAAAACCATAGCGACGAACGACCGTTTGTTTGTCCGATAGCCGACTGTGGCGACAAGTTTTTGACCAAAAATAATCTCAAAGGTCATATGTTGACTCATTCGGATGAACGGCCGTTTAGGTGCGAGTTTGTCGGCTGCGGTAAAACATTCAAAACTAATTACTCACTGAAAGGACATCTACTGAGACATACAACAGAACCAACACTGAAATGTCATTACGACGGATGTAACGAAATGTTTCTGAACTTTGATCGCCGACAGAGACACGTCAGTACTGTCCACAAGAAAAAACCCAAAAAGACTAACCCATCGTTTAGGTGCGATTGGCCGGGATGTGAGTTTCGGGCATTCAAACCATATACTGTTAAAGAACATAAAAGAGTGCACACCGATGAACGACCGTTTGTATGTGATTGGCCAGACTGTGGCAAACGGTTCCGATGGTTGCATGTATTGGCCGAACATAAACACATCCATATCAACGATAAGCCACACGCATGTCATTGGCCCGGATGTCACTACCGGTGCAATGATAAGTCAAATCTGAGAAAACATTTGCGAACTACACATAAATAATAGATACAATAATTTTTTTTATAATAATTTAAATAAAATTGTTTTCAAGTTTATATTTTTTAAAATTTATACTGTTTAAATTTTTAATTTACCGGTTTAGACTACGGTAATAATTATATGATACAGTTATTTATTTAGGTTTACCGTTATTTAAATATGTACAGTATATTATATAGATAATAAAATTTACCAGTACAGTTTTATATAATATATTAAATTATGTATTTATTGTAATTTATTTATTTAACAATAATAAAATTAATTATTAAATTAAAACTTTTGTTTAATACATTAATCCATAAATTAATATATTATAGTAAAAAGTAAAAAACGTTTGCATTGAATGTCAAACTCATTGATTGTTTGTTTATGTTTTGAAAGTAATGTTTATTTCAATTATTAATCTATTTTTAAGAGTTTTTAATAAAATAATACAATTATTTTAAAATATTAATTATGGCATCAATTGTGGTGACAATTGAAGATATTTTCGATGAATTGTTGATCGAAAACAATAGACTAATGAATGAATTATTGTTTGCCAACAAATTGAAGACATTTTTGATGAAATTAATTGAAAAGTATGAATCGGTTATCGATTGCGAAGACAAACAACAATTCAATGATTTGACACAACAGATGACAATCAATGGTAAGCGATGTTTGTTTGTTGTAATCATTAGACATAACTGTTTGAATCAATTATATATTACCACAATAGGTGTCGACAATAAAGTTAATCAGAGTTTGAATTTAAAATATGATAAATCAAAGCTCAGAGACTTTAAGACAAATAAAGATTTGAAAACTAGTCATAGATTTAGTAGAAGTTCAATGAAAAGGATAGATGTTTCCGGTGTTTATGACAAAGATATGACACCATCTGATTGTAAGCTCGCGAATGATGATAAAGAGATCACAAATAAATTTGACACAAGAAATGGTAATAACATTACAAATACAACTACCGGTAATCAGATCAATAGGATCACAAAAATGACGAAATTAATCTCTAAAAAATCAAAGAAGAATATCGACGTTAACTGTTTGGAAGTGATTAAAGTCAAAAGTGAAGTTAATATCAACAACACGACCACTGGTCAGTCCGATGACATGTATGACAACAGTAATAATAGATGCGATTCATTGAATTTGCAAACTATTGTCAGCGATAATGAAGACAATGAATGGTTACCAGAAGAGTCAGAAACACAAAATGTTAAACAAATTAAAATAAAATCGAAAATTTCAGTTAAAAACAATTCAAGTGAAGTGAAAGCATCGAAATCAAGAAAATATGAGTTATGTTATAATTCAGTAACCAATTTGTATGTTTGCAATCAAATTGAATGCAACGGCAAAACGTTTGATAATTATGATAAACTTTATCAACATATGAGGAATCATTCGGGCAGACGATTCAAATGCCAAGTTTGCGGTAAAAGTTTCAAAAAATCAACTCATGTTATAAATCATCAATTGGTACACTCGGACACTAAACCATTTAAGTGTCCGCACGACGACTGCACTTATGAGACCAAATATAAGTCAGCCGTTGCTCAACACATAAAAGTCAGTCATAGAAATGAGAGACCATTTTCCTGTCAGATAGCCGACTGTGGCTTCAGATTTGTCACTAAACAACAACTCCTTAAACATACACAACTTCACTCCAATGATTACCCGTTTCGGTGTACTTTTGACGGATGTGACAAACGATTCAAAGTCGAAGGATATCTTAAAGTTCATTCATTAATACATAGTTCTGAAAAAACTGTTAAATGCTATTACAAAGGATGCGATGAAATGTTTCGCACAGTTTATGGCAGACATAAACACATATATATCGTTCACAAGAAAATAGATTTACTGAAAACGAAGTCATGTGAATGGCCCGGATGTGAGTATAAGACAAAACATAACTCTGCGATGATGTCCCACAAACGAGTTCACGCAGATGACCGGCCATTTCAATGTGATTGGCCAGACTGTCATAAACGCTTCCGAAGATTACAACTACTCAACGAACATAAGCACATCCATACTAACGATAAGCCGCACGCATGTCATTGGCCCGGATGTCACTACCGGTGCAATGATAAGGCAAATCTAAGAAAACATTTACGGACTTCACATAAATAATATTTATTTTTTTAAGTAAATCTTCATAATTATCATATAACTCGACAATTATTGTTAAATTATAAGTAAATTGAAATTTAATTTCTCTATGCTATCATAAATTAATATTTACACTGAATATTAAATTAAAATTAATTATAAGTAATATTTAATATTTTAGAGAAATTTATAAATTAAATCTTGACTCTAATTAATAAAAATGAAAACAATATAATTGATTATTAAATTTTTAAAACTATTTTTTAAAACCTTCCAATAAATTGTTATATTATAGTAAAAAATAAAAAACGTTTGCATTGAATGTCAAACTCATTGACTGTTTGTTTATGTTTTGAAAGTAATGTTTATTTCAATTATTAATCTATTTTTAAGAGTTTTTAATAAAATAATACAATTATTTTAAAATATTAATTATGGCATCAATTGTGGTGACAATTGAAGATATTTTCGATGAATTGTTGATCGAAAACAATAGACTAATAAATGAGTTATTGTTTGCCAACAAATTGAAGAAGTTTTTGATGAAATTGATTGAAAAGTATGAATCGGTTATCGATTGCGAAGACAAACAACAATTCAATGATTTGACACAAGAAATGACAATCAATGGTAAGCGATGTCTTCGCATAGATTGTAACGAAATCAAAGACAATACTAAAGAAGTTAATGTTTCTGAAACCGATAAACGAATTGCCAGAAGAAGACAAAATAGAAGACAAATTATCGCAAAGAAGTTAAAAGCAAATAATGACGAAAATGATAAATCAAAGAAGTTATCAAAAGTGAAGACAAAAGCAACGAATCACATCTATAGTGGACATAATGAGACTAATGGTGAAACTGATCCAAACAGCAAGACATATGATAAATCAATTGGTGAACTGATACGTTCGGCTAATTGTTTTGATTCGGTGACCAATCAGTGGTCGTGTCCTGAAACTGGATGTCACAAAGTCTATAACATTTATAGCAGTATCTATAAACACATACATAGCTGTCATCGAGATGGCCAACAAATAGTTTGTAATTATCCCGATTGTGGAAAAACATTGAAAGGAAGAGATAGTTATGTAAATCATCTGAAGATTCACACCGAAGACAGTGTATATGTGTGTCAGTACAAGGATTGCAACAGAAGATATATAACCCAATCACGGCTAACTACACACATGAAGATTCACTCAACATATCGGGTAGAGTGTCCACTATGTCACCGAAAATTTACAACTAAAGGTAATCTGGCGGCACATCAGCGTAACAAATGCAGACTTACGACAACAGTTGCGTACAATTGTGTGATTTGTGGCCAACATTTTCGGACTCACTACCGGCTACGTGACCATAAGGCCAAAATCCATGACATTCATCGGCGAATCAACATTCGCTCGTGTGAGTGGCCGGGTTGTGACTACACAACCAAACGATCCTATTTGCTTAAATATCACATGAATCGGGTTCACCGCAATTACCGGCCGTTTGTATGCGATTGGCCCGACTGTGACAAACGATTTATTAATAAAGAGATACTAAATGATCACAAAAACATGCATTTGAAGATCAAACGACACGCCTGTCAATGGCCGGGATGTACGTTCCGGTGCACACTTCGCTGCAATTTATATAAACATAAAAAAGTTCATCAAAAACAATAATCAATTTGTCATTTATTTAAATTTTATTTATTTTAAATTCAATTATCAATAAAATAGAAGATTTTTTTTTGAAGAAGTTTTCAGGAAAAAAACTCAGACAAATACAAAGAAATTTTGATCTTAAAATTGTAATTTATTTTTAAAAGTTGGTATAGAAATCATTCATAAAATTCATAATAATTTACTATTCAATAAAATTGAATTAATTTATATGGTTTATTGTTTTATAAATTCAATTATAATATACAGTATAACACAGTATATAAAACAATAACTTCCAAAAAAAAAATTCAGTTAACGGCAAAATTGTATTAAGATTTCGGCAAAATTTCATCAGATATTGATTCCTGAGATTTCCATTTGATATCTGGATTCGACACCGTTTTTAATCCCTAATTATAAATAATTAAATTATTATTATTATATAAAAATTTATTTAATATTTTGATTTACAGATAATTTTTTTTTAAAAATAAACTTACAGACTTTTGTGTATAGCAAATATATAAATAATAAACACTGACTATCGGTACAGAGATAACCTGTGCAACGATTAAAATCCAACCAAAAATGATCGTCCATTTGGGGAATATATAGCCGCGATATTCGGGCGCTTCAGTTGATACTATTGTTAGGATTAGTAATACCTGTTATTTTTTTATGACATTAAATGTCATATTTTATAAACTTTTGACTTTTTATTGATAGGTATTTGACAGTTACTGTACTTACAAATAAGATTATGGGTGTAACGTATAGCCAAACAATCTTCCAGAGTATTCTGGGCTTAATATCGCGTCCGACCATCTCTTTGATGTGATCCGCAAATTTGTCGATACCGTAAACCCATGCAATCGATACCACTTCAACTAAGGCCACAAATATGGCTGATGTCGAGGCAATAAAGTCATTGAAAAGCACAAACCAATATATTCCGGCCTTAAAATTGGATTTCAAAAAAAAAAAAATTAATACAAATACTTATTTAAAAACCAAAATATTAAATTACTGAACTCTATTGCAGAAGATTAATCCACATATGAATCCTATCAAACATATTAAACCCAATAAACAGATGCGATATTTTCGACTTTTTGGATTAAATTCTACGACAACTGATAAAACACTTTTCAGAATTAGTGTTTGAGATCCCAATCCCAGCAATATTAGCACCAAAAAGAAAATAAATGAGAATAACTGTCCCCAAGGAAACATAGCAACTGCTTCGGGATACATCATAAATGCCAGTCCCGAGTCTTTTACGGCCACATCGGCAACATTAACACCGCGATTATGGGCGACGGCACCCATGTATGCAAATATAACAAAACCGGTGCAAATGCTTATAAAACTTTTTTTTAAAAAAAGTAATACAAGTAATTGAGTTAATTTTTTGCATTCATCAGAAAATTTATAGTCAAACCTATTGCCCAATGCTATGAATGTGGCATCTCTAATGAGATGGTTTTCAAAATCATTATGACTGGCCAAAAATATGATAGTACCCCACGCTATGCCCAATGAAAAAAATATTTGTTGACTGGCGTCAACCCAAATGCCTAATGTTAACAGTTTGCTAAAGTCTGGGGTTATATAAAATTTGATACCATTCCACGCGCCCTCCAATACTATGCCTCTTAAAAATAATATTACCAAACATATGCACGGAAATATTGTTGCCAAATATGCTATCTTTTCGGGTAAATTAGATATTAATATAAAAAAATAATAAAATAAAATATTTAGTTTTAAAATTATCAATTATTAGTTTAACATCTTTACAATTTTGATACCATTGGATAGTATCACAAAACATAAGATCCAAGCAATAAGCAGACACCCAACCATAGGCCAGTTCAACTCACTAATGTCACCGATGTTTTTGTTAATATCAAGTACTTTATCGTGGAAGTACTCATCACTGGAAGTATATCTTTTAGCGCTGCCGTTCACATACCCGGCCTTACACTCTATAGTATTCCACGAGTGATCTTAATATATTCAAATAATTAAAGATAATATCACCGATTAATTGATATTAAAAACTAATTTAAGTTTTATTACTGCATGACTTCCACGGTAACTCATATATAGTAATGGAGGCAAAAAAATATCGCAGAGCCCAAGCAACCAATACGTTATAGTAGACCGACTGAATCGATACCATTATTAACCTAAAAGTATTTTTAATTAATCGATATTAATAATTATATTTAAAATTAGATATTTATTTAAACATACATTGAATAGCCTATACCCTGAAAGATAGGCATAAATCTGTTTGAAATAAATGATAATTAATTTTTTTTTAAAGTAAAATATTTAAACAATACTTACTTCCAGACACTGACTTTTCCTTTAGCTATAAATAGTATCAAAAAATTAATTGTAAAAATCATTTGTTATAAATTAAATAGAAATAACAGTTTTAAATATTACATGAATACTGTCCTAAAGTCATCTCTAAGATAATCACTGGAAATCCAACAAAAGCCAGACTCAGAAAATACGGTATAAGAAATGCACCTAAAAATTGATGAAACAATTAATTTGTGATTATTATTGATATCATCAAATTGACTGAAACACATACCGCCGCCGTTTTTATAGCATATGTATGGAAATCTCCAGATATTTCCTTAAAAAAATAATTATTAATTGATTTATTGGGTAAAAAAAATTTGTTTTTTTCTGGTCAAATATCTACCGAAACCTATAACATAGTTAAGACATGTCAGTATGAACTCGACTTTTGATGACCAGCGGACAGGTTCCAGATTTTTATTGCTATTGTCATTTGTCAGGTCAGTGGTCACCGCAACAGATCCATCTTTTGTCGCTTCGTTAGCCATTTGACTCTTTAAAATAAAGTATAATTTTGTTTAACTGTTAAAAATTGAAAAATCAAAAAAATCAAATTAAAAAAAATTGTAATTAATAATAATGATGAAAAACTTTTTCATAATTCACGCGCTATTTTACAAAACAAAAAAAAATTTATAATATAATACACGTATAAATGGTTTGTATTTTTTTTTTTTAAAGTCTCATAAAATAAGCGCAAATGCAATGCAAGCCAATGGCGACGTCACAGTACTCTCTCTTGAGGTGACGTACTCTCTATTTCTCTAACTCTCTCTAAAGCTGAGAGAGAAAGTGGCGTAAAATGAGTGAAGAAAAAATGGTTGATCAGTGGCGTCGACTCACCTGAAAACACAAATAAAAAGACAATGGATTATATCGTAAACTATACGGTAAATAATCCTAACATTCATTGCGTAATCCAAGAAAAGGATGCAATCATTGGTCGCCAGTCAAAGGAAATCGAAGAACTCCATAAAGCGAACCAACTGTTGGCCAAAGACAACGACCGATTGCTGGCCGATCTCGACCTCCAAAAGAAGTTGTGCGAAGCACTCGAAAAGTTTAAATACAATCTCGAGAGACATGTGGCCGCACTCAAGGACTACGATCTCAATCGGTGGTCAATCGGCGAAGTCGAGTCTGAGGTATCACTACAGTACTATTGATTACATGACCATTGATTGCATGCATGCAATAGAAATCTCAATTTATATATAGTTTTTTTTAATTGCAATTGATTTTCATAACAATGTCTTCAGATGTCTTTAAGTTTTCTTTTATTACGACCACCTGTTAGGTGAGAATATGGGAACACGAATATCTGATGGTTAGGAAAATGTTGGAAAAGAAGGAAAGAGAAGAACAACAGGCACTGCTGATGGCCAGTACTGTTGCACTCAACGGTTCCGTTGCCAACACAATCGGAACACAGTCATCGGTGTCGGCCAACAACAACAACAACGATACAGCACATCAGACACCATCGCACAGACAACACCAACAACAGAGGCGAACAAATAAGCCGCGACCCGTGGAAGTGGCCGCCGACGGGACACAACTCAAGCGATATGTTTGCGATTTTCCCAACTGTACGTACAGAAGCAATTGGGCGCACGATCTCAAAGGTCACAAACGGAAACATACGGGTATGTCGATAGTCATAAAAAAATTTAATTTATCGGATATCTATTAACTGTTGATATCGATTGACAGGTGAAAAGCCATACACTTGCGGTTGGCTTAACTGTAATAAATCGTTTCGCGATTTACGCGATTTGAAGAGACATCAGAGGTATGAGTGATGTCCTTAACAAAGAATGTAATCTAAAGATATGACTGATATTTTCCAAACTTTTCAGAGCTCATACGGGAGACAAGCGGTACAGTTGCGATTGGCCGGGATGTGAGTACCGATCGACCGATGTGGCCAATCTGGCCAAACACAAGCGCACACATACTGGTGAACGGCCGTATAAATGTGATTGGTATGTCGTCTATGTTGTATAATATATACCGGTTCTCCTGAGTTATATGTATTTAATACAATTTATCGTCGATGATAGGGCCGGCTGTGAGGCATCATTTGCCGACGGATCACATCTCAGAAGACATCAGAAGAAACACGAAAATCAAATGACAAAAACGGCCAAAATATCGGCCAAATCACCGAAAAAACAGTCGACAACGTTGTCGAAGAATGCAAAAACAGGTTTCGTTAAGATTCGTCAACAGCCCGGCCGTAGAGCTAAAGGTTCGTCTGCGGGAAGAATACTCGTTGAAGTGACACCCGATGTACCACAAGAAGTGTCAGCAGTCGATAATCAAGTAATCAACAACAAGTCTGCCGTCAATATGTCCAATGTTAGCACTAAAGTCAGTGTCATTGAAACAATCGCAAGTAATGTTCATATCATGTCCACCACTCAAGAGACCAATCAAACCATTAGTCAACAGATGGACCAAATGAATGGTGGATCAAATGTGATGACCACTACTGACGACAACCGGTCGTCGCTAATGATTGATGACAACAACCGATTGCTAACTGTCATCGCTAGTCCTGCCGATGATGACCACAACGACACCATTGGACAATCACAACTACCATCGATGACCAAGTATTCAGATATCCATAGTTTGGATCAATGATTGTATTGTTATTATTGTTTTATTTGAATCATTAATAAAGTCTTTGATAATAATGACTAAAAAATTGTATTGTCTTTAGTTGTTATAATATATTTGTACTAACCCTCTAACACCACACTCACCAGATCAGGCAATCGCCTTATCCGATGAACAAGTGATGGATTAAAGAATAAATAAATGAAAATAAACATTAAATAAATTGAATTATCTTTTAATTTAGTTTGCATTTCAACTATAAGTTGAGTGTTTTGCCAGTCTTTTACTGAAGACATCGATAATTTAGTGACATTTGTTGACAAACTCAGGTCATTAAAGTTGCCATCGATTAGCTCGAGAGTTGCTAACAAAGACTTCTCGTTGGTCTCACAAACGGGAAATATGTTCGATGACCATAACTCGGACTTTAATTGACTATCGAGACAACAGCCTAATGTGCACCAACCGTTGACACCGTCATCGATGGTAACGGGCACTGAATATAGCAAATAGTTAACCGGAAACTTGAGTACTTCAAGCGATCTATCGGTTCGCTTCTCAAGAATACAATTGTAGAGAAGATTACGATTTGTGACGATAGGAATGTCAGCGAAATTGCAGAACTCGACCACACTATGCCTGTCGACCACTGAATCTACATTTATTTGACTGCAAATCACTGTCCCTTTGATGACATCGCTGTCGCTATGATTTTGGGATCTGAAGCACAAACTTTTAGCCAATTCTTTATCACTATAATCAGTCATTTCGTAAATATATTCGCCAATAGTTCCCAAATGAATAAACTTTGATTGACTCAACACTAATACTTTGAAATGGACATCACTGAGCAGTTGATTCAACGGTGATTTGAACTTATTGTCGCCATAATTGCTGACGGGATCGGAGCCAAGTGGACACAGAAAGTGTCCGTAACAGTCAAGCTCTTCATCTAGACTATGAACTGGATATTTGAGTAGTCGGTCTACGATAACATCAGATCCCAAGTAATAGGAACTGTCGGTTATGCAGTGCTGTAGTGTGCCGTTGAGGACAAATGCACCAAATTTGGTCAACTCGTCAACAGTCGGCTTTTGCAGCACTTGAAGACAGTTATGCATTGAAACAGTTCTACTGTTTATCATTGGTAGCGTTTGGTCGTCTAATACATAGACGCCATGAGTTACCGATATGTCCACATCGGATGGATGTCCCAAACAAACGATACTATCGCTCGCAAATTGCGATAAATTTTTCATCTCTGACTCGTCATAGGAATAGATTACAATATCGTCGGACGCTGTAATCCAGACGCCAGTGGACATCAATGTTGCGAACGGTGCCAGAAGTGCCAGTTTTACATCCAGTGCCGTCCAATATTTGTTATCATCGCTGTTAAGTTCAATGGGAAGATTGGAGAAGAGTTTACCCAAAATTGAATAGTGAGGTAATCGTTGACTATAACCTCCGGAATGTATTAACAATATCTTATGATTGGAGATATAATTATCGCCAAACTGTTCCAATAGATAGCGAAATATAAATAGTGTGGAACCGCCTGAACCTAACTTCTTAGTTCCGTTGGTTTGCCTCACAAATTGTTCGTCAGAGACAACCAAAAAGTTGAACTCATCGGTAATAAAATGCCGATTGTTTTGTTTCATTTCATCTAATTGTCTCTCAAAGGCACTTCTTTGACGTTCATCTCTCGATGAAATAACAATAAGATCCCATCCGCTGATCGGATTGTCATTGTATTGCTTTAACAAATCCCGGGATGACTTCATTTGACTGACTGTCTGACCGCCTGAATGACTGTCAAATCAATATATTTTTTGAATGATTTTTGAAATCCTAAAAAAACAAAAATTTTGATTGTTTTATATTTGTTGCCCAAATTATCGACATTCATCACATCATATCTTAAATTAAATTTTATAATTTAAAAAAATATCTTCAATAACTATTTCATAATTTGTTAATAAAATTATTTAATACCGTTTTACAAAAAATGAATATATTAAAATATTTTAAAAAAATAATATTACCTCAAACTTCATTTTATATAATAACTTATAATATAATTTATAATGTTTTTAATATATATATATACTTATAAATTAAATATTTTAAACACTATATTAAAAAAAACTTTAAATTACTTACAGTAATAGACAACTGTTATGTATTATATTATATAATTTATATTTTATTTTATTTTTAAGTTAACAGGTGTGTCAATACTTATTTGTATATTACGTTAATAATATTATTAAAATAATTGTTAACTCATTTAACAGACTGTTTAAATAACAAACCGGTAATAAAAATATAATTATTATATACAGTATATAAATAAATATGTAAAGTATATTTTGAATTTATGTTATTTTATTAAATATAGAATTTAATTTTATATCTATTCCCAGAATAAATACCATATATATCTATATATTGACACAATTGTATTAATGAATTTTATTATTTTAAACTTAAACTATTTTATAACTTAAATATAGTATGAGATTTACTTTCTCTACTTTAACCTATTTATGGTATATCTATATTTGTCATACACTAGCATAAACTACACATTACCATTGTAAGGGTCAGTTGACCCCATTAAACACTATACACTAATTAAACACATTTTTGATAATATTTCTCTAAATATAATCAACTCATAAATTTAGACTTCAAATATCAATCACATACACGTTGACACACATACAAACTTAATGTTATTAAAATCCTTGACCGGGATCACCGCCAAAAGACACTATAAACTTCAGGTCACATATCATCCTATATAAGCTGGTGTCCCACTTAACTCACCATTCGGTGACTGAGACTCATACCCAACACATCAATCTAAATGCCACACATCAGGAGCCCACTCCAAACAACCGGATCACAAGACATCCAAAATACCACTGTTCCCAAAACAGTAACAATCAATAGTGTGGTCACTAAACTACAAATAACTCATCACCGTCTCAACTATTATACAATTATACTAAAAACTTGTGTAACCTTTACTTTTAATTTTTTTAACTAAATAAATAACTTTCAAACCTACAACACGACGGCAAACCCATCATTTATTTTACAAGTCGGCAGGATTAGTGTAGCCGAAAAAGTGCATTCTATCTACAATCCAATGAACATTTTTAAACTTGTGATTTCAACCGTTATCATCATATTATTTGTTTCTATTCATCAAGTTTTTGGTTACGGAGCCATCATCGGTGCTATTTTTAGAGGCATTGGTATCGCAGCAAAAACAACAGTTAAGAAAACGGTACCATTCATCGCAGCAGACGCAATAGTTATCGGTGGTGTAGCAGCGTACAATCATTTCAATGGCGAAAAAGAAAACAACGCGACGACAACCGTCAACTCAACGACAACCAGTAGACCAGAACACCGAAACAGAAATCGCTCCAAACGTCCCAAACGAATCAACACAAGACAACATACCACAAACACCACTCAACCTTCCCATCCTCAGCGACAACGAGTCGACCGATTCGGAAAAGGAGGGCCCAATCAACACTTACGCAAAAATTAGTAAGCCTAAAATACAAATTTATAAAGGTCTAAATGACAAAATTACTATTGTTAATTGGCTCAAGAGATTTGATATGATCTCTGACTTTAACTCGTGGTCAGACAAACAAAGAGCTGTAATGATAGGAAATTATTTAGAAGATGATGCCTTAAATTGGTACATCGAAAACTTTGATAACAATAACTTTTCTAGCATTAAATCTAAACTAATTAATAGATTTGGTTTAACTACTGTTGAACCTATTGTCGATTTTATTGACCACAAATATGATGTTAAAGTCGGTATCAAAGACTACTTTGAGACCAAAAGACGCTTCGGTATTGCTGCGAAATTGACAGAAACACAAATCATACCTATTATGATACACCACTTACATCCACAATTAATTAATGCGTTTACGGCTGTAAAACCCAAAACTTTTGCTGAGTTTTACACTATTGCACAAACAGCCGAAAATAATTTTAAGCGCTCAAATTATTATGTAAAAAGCAATGCAAATGTCTTATCTCAAGATCGCTCAAACATATTTCCTGAGTCTAAACAAACCAATAAAAACATTTCTAATCCTAATCCACCTAATACTCCGTGTGGTATATGCGCTAAGTTAGGCTTCCGCAATAGATACCATTGGGTAATAGATTGCTTCAATAATAAAGCAAACAAAGCTAATCCCCAATCAAACCTTACTGTTCCTAAAACAGTCAATATTATTGATCAAATTGATAACGAAAATGATATCAATAAAATTGAAATAGACTAATTTTAACTAAAAAAATAAATAAATAATAACCTAAAATTTAGTTATTAAATAATAAAACCACAATTATTAACAAATAATATTTACACTGGAACCAAAGCCAGATTACCCTCTATTAATCATATAGCATTACATATTAACCCATTTCAATAAACCAAAGCACTGGAACCAAAGCCTGTTTAGCTATTTATAGGTCATAAACCATAGTTAAAATATTTCATAATTAATCAATTCAGGCACTGGAACCAAAGCCAGGATTAGCCGTCAACTTGTGTCCATCAAGTGACAAAAATTAATACATTTTTTAAATATTAAATAATTTTTATCAGTACTAAGTACATAAAAATATAATATTAAAAAAATTCTATTTTCTATTTTATCTATTAAATCAATTAATTAACTTAAGATAATACATTTGCAATGTTTTGTAGCGCTACACAAAAAAATTACATTAATTATCTAATTACATTAAATCATTACAAAACAAAAAATTATTAAATTTAATTTTCATATACTAATTTTGTAAATCCCTCTAACGCCTCTTTTTAAAACAGGGGGATGTAAAGTATATTTTGAATTTATGTTATTTTATTAAATATAGAATTTAATTTTATATCTATTCCCAGAATAAATACCATATATATCTATATATTGACACAATTGTATTAATGAATTTTATTATTTTAAACTTAAACTATTTTATAACTTAAATATAGTATGAGATTTACTTTCTCTACTTTAACCTATTTATGGTATATCTATATTTGTCATACACTAGCATAAACTACACATTACCATTGTAAGGGTCAGTTGACCCCATTAAACACTATACACTAATTAAACACATTTTTGATAATATTTCTCTAAATATAATCAACTCATAAATTTAGACTTCAAATATCAATCACATACACGTTGACACACATACAAACTTAATGTTATTAAAATCCTTGACCGGGATCACCGCCAAAAGACACTATAAACTTCAGGTCACATATCATCCTATATAAGCTGGTGTCCCACTTAACTCACCATTCGGTGACTGAGACTCATACCCAACACATCAATCTAAATGCCACACATCAGGAGCCCACTCCAAACAACCGGATCACAAGACATCCAAAATACCACTGTTCCCAAAACAGTAACAATCAATAGTGTGGTCACTAAACTACAAATAACTCATCACCGTCTCAACTATTATACAATTATACTAAAAACTTGTGTAACCTTTACTTTTAATTTTTTTAACTAAATAAATAACTTTCAAACCTACAACACGACGGCAAACCCATCATTTATTTTACAAATATATTATATATTGATAAATAAAATACAGAATAATAAAAGAAAATTAAATGATAAACTGTTTAATAGATTATAATTAAGATTATATATAATCTATAATTAAAAATCATATTTTAAAAAATTGAATTAACTAAATAATAATTATCTATAATATATAATATGTGTATTTAAGAAATAATTTGGTTTCAATAAAGTTAAAATTAATTTTTATTAATATAACTTACCGGGATATAAATATTTATTTTAAAAAATAGGATATGATATTTACAAATAACAATAAAATCTAATATTTGATAATATATTTAACAAAATCAAAATTCTAGTCATCAATCATTTAAGAAAAAATTAGTTTTTATGGAAAAATATTAATAATTTACTAAAAGATTAAAATACCGTAAAATTTGTAAATGTATTTATGATATGTATTTGTTTAGAAAAACAAAACAATATTTACATTTAAAAAAACATATGATATTATACTGTATTAATACTGTATTACTGTAGAAAAAATACAGTATTTATGGGAAACGTAATGATTGTATAGATTAAGACAATAGACGTAAACATTTAAACATTTAATAATATAATGCAATCATAACGTGAGTCACATTTGTGTTGTATTTATTAGAAAAAATGTGTTTAAAATTTATTGATTGTATTAATAATCACTTAATAGGACTGTTAGACAATATGATTGTGTGATTGATTGGCCATTGCATTGACCGCAATAGTTATTGTCATCAGCTTTTCTGTGTGTTTGCCATTGTCTGAGTCAGATATCTGAAGATTTTTTCGGGTGTGAAAAAAATGCCGAAAAAGCGCTGTTATTACGAGATTATGGGTCTCGCGATGGACGCCACTGATGAAGATATTAAGCGCGCGTACCGTCAGTTGGCTCTGAGTTTACATCCCGACAAAAATCCCGACAACCAAGAGATGGCCAACAATGAGTTCAAAGTGCTTCAAGAAGCCTATGAAGTGTTGTCCGATCCGCGCGAAAGAAAATGGTTTGTCCGCTGATTTTCGATGACTCAAAACTTATCTGATATCTTGTTTTTTGACCACTTATTTGTGTATATTATATAAAGGTATGATAAACATAGAGATGCCATTCTTTGCGGTCAAGACAGAGACGATATTGTGGACAAAGAAGTAGATGTCTATCCCTATTGTAGTTCATTTTGTTACCAGTCCTTCAGCGACGACGCGAACGGCTTTTATACTGTTTATCGCAATCTCTTTAAAACCATTGCTGACGAAGATTTGCCGTTCAGAGATAGTGATGACAAAGACTATGAAGAAATACCTGAATTTGGAAACTCAAAGACTCCGTACAGTGATGTCCACCAGTTTTACTCGTATTGGATGAGCTATTGTACGGCAAAGACGTACTCGTATTTTGATAAATACAATATATTGGACGCACCTAACCGTCGAGTGGCACGACTTATAGAGAAAGAAAACAAAAAGATTAGAGACGCGGCCAGAAAAAAACGTAATGAAGAGATCAGAGTATGTATTGGACACATGTTTTAAGTAATGTATTTATAGTTGTCTTATATTTCAATATTGTTTTATTTCTACCAGAGTTTGGTAGAGTATGTACGCAAACGCGACAAACGAGTGGCCGAAAATCGGCGAAAATTAGAGGCCAAAGCAGAGGAAAATAAGCGAAAGTCGGAAATGATTCGCAAACAGCAAATAGAGGCCCGAAATAAAGAGTTAGAGAACTATCAGGAATCTGAATGGACTTCGATGGCAGCTCTTGAAGATAATCTTAAAGAGATTGAACAGCATTTAGACGATGAGCACAACAAGAAAAAGAAATCAAAAAAGTCGAGAAAATTGGTCGATAATACTGACACTATTGAGGACATGAATGGTGAGAACGAAGATGAAGACGACAATGAATACGAAGACAATCTCTATTGTATTGCATGCGATAAAGCATTCAAATCCGACAAAGCATTTGCAAATCACGAGAACTCTAAGAAACATAAGACTAATATTGCATTTCTTAGACAACAACTTGAATCCGATGATCAGTTAATTGATAATTCCGGTGATTCTTGACTTTAAAATTATATTATTAGAGTATTAAAACATATAATAAATATTTGTATATTAAAACAATTAAATTATTGATAAAATTTTACTGAATTTAAATTATAATATGTATTGCATTTTTGATCGATTAATTCATTTTGTTTTATTTAAAAAAAAAACAGTTTAACTTAGATTATCATCTCAACTATATTATATCATATCTATATTATATTAATATCTTTTAATTTAAATTAATTTTGACTACCCGTTAACAAAACTCGAAATTATTTATTAATAATTTTTGTTTGATAATCATTACCAAAATGATAATGTTTTTTTACTTTATAATACTGTAAAAGTACAACAAAAATTATGAATTTGCATTATTTGTTATAAATAATTTAATCAGTTAAATAATTTTTAAAATTTTGTTTCATATAAACTATACTGAATTTGATAATGAAAGTCAATCAAATAAACTATCAGTTTATCATCACTAATGATAACAACAAAAAACATGATTTTTTTCGATGAACATTGACAACAAAAATTAATTTTTGTAATAATTTTTTTTTATTTAAAAAAAATTATTTAAGTTTTTTTTTTAAATAAAAAAATAGTTGTAATCTCTTGTTTTAATCATTTGATTAATTTGACTGAAATTTTGATTAATGTCGTTAGTAGTGGTAGTATTAGTAAACTTGTTTACTTTTAAAGATAAATAAATTTTAACTAAACTATGCTATAAATTAAATAAACTTGATCATTTGGGGGATGATCTAGTTAGAAAGTTCATGGACAACTTTAAATAATTTAATGATATTTATGATGTATATCATTGAAATAATCGTTGACTTATTTTGGGATAGTTTTTATAAAATGTTTTTGTTAAGTATACTCTCTTTATTGTTTGATTAATATTTATTTATTCACATTGTATTTAGTTTTTTATGAGTTGAATGTAATTTCAATGAGTAGTAAATTTGAATAATAATAATAATAAAATATGACATCAAAAATATTATACAAACAATTACACTATAAACAGGGTTTGTCTAGTTTTTTTTAGGTGTTGCACTCAATATATGTAAAATATTATATTTATGTTGAATATTAAACAAGTGATACATTGTTAAAGTAAGCTGTTTATAGCTAATAACAAATTGCTATATTTGGAAAAAATATACTGTACTTAGGTTTGTCTCATAATTTTTTTTATGTATCATATAATATATATGACATTTCATTGTTTTAAAAAAGTTTATAAACATGATTTAATTTGATATTTATTTATATTTTTTGAAAAATCATCAGATTATTTGAAAAAATTATTTTCAATTTGAAAACCAGTTCTTCACATAAAGAATATAAGTAATAAATTATTTTTTAATTTTGGGAAAAATATCTTTTTTTTAATTACTACTATTACATATAGATATGTAATGAAAATTTTGCAAAATATAATTTACAAAAAAATGCGAAATCTTAAATTTCGATAATTATTTTTTACAGCAAATAAATCAATTATTAATTTTGCTATTAATTTTATAATTTGTAAATATAATGTAGAAATTGTCAAAATATATAATATTTATATACTTTAATTAACTTATTTCAATGATTGCTATTTCTAAAATGATTTTAAATTAATAATTTGTCAAAACATTATTTATTTAAATACAACTAAAAATAATAAACTAAATAATTTAGTTAATTCTCTGACAAGCATTTTGTTTAAAAAAAATCTTTTAATTTTCTTAATGAGAAATAATTAAAATAAATGAAAAATTATCAATTAATAAATCAATGAATTAATTATTCATCAACAATCTAAACAGTTTTTTAATTGCTTGGTTTTCTAATAATTTGCAATATTATAAACTATTCTACTGTTTTGTTTCAATCAAGATTTTTTTTTGTCAAAACAACAAAATAAAAACTATTAACATTTAACGAGAAATATTGCAATCGATTTTTGCTATATTTATAAATTTTTATATTTCATCGTTAAATATATAACTAACGCAAACCTGTTTATCGTTACTATCTCTACATAAAAAAATACATATGCAATACAATTATATACAGTAAGAATTGATTTTTACAGACTATATATATGTTTATTATAGAGTATTTTAATTGTTATGACTCTCAACATTAAATTAGCTGATTATGATAATAATTACCACAAATGTGAGTATTATATTTATTTTCTGTATGAAAATTATTTGCCAATTGTTATGAAATTTCACTGAATAGAGTACCCTTTTAATTGGTACCCTCACTATTGATCCCATATTACAGTGTATATAATATAAATAAACTTAATATTCAATTAAGCATTATATAAGTGAAGGTTATATACAATTTATTTATGACTTAATGTTAAAATTTTTGCATAAAAATAACATAGACTTTGTGTTGTTGGCAAATGTCATATAAAATTGATTTGTATTATTTTTTAACATTTGTTTCAGTATCTCCTGAAGATATATTGCAGATAGTTTACGCAAAAAATATTTTTTTTTTAAATTAATTAATTGCTATAAATATATTTCCAATAAATAAATGATTTTGTTTTATCCTCATTATTGTATGATATGAAAGGAAATCTATTGAAATAAAAAAATACTAAAAAATATTATTTGTATTGTATGATAAATTTAAAAATAAACATAAATTTCATGTGTATATAACAGTGAGAGTGTACAGTATGCTTGATCTTTAAGCTAAATAGTAAATTAAAATTATTTTGATGGCAAAAATACATAAAGTTATTTATATTCATGTGGTGTATATTATAATATAGGGTTAAGCATATACTGTATATATATATAATTATATAAAATATATATATAATATAATATAAAGTTTGTTTAATTTTATATTTAACGATAACATAAGTCTAATGTATATATAATAAAGTAGTCGTCACATAAATAAGTCATTCAGTATTTGCGTGAATTTTAAATAACAACTTTTTTGATATCATTTTTGCTGAACACACACAACACAACAGATCTCAAGTAAGCTATCATTACTTTTTTTATAAAATAAAATTCAGATTAATTGATGCGAGACATTATCGCAAATGTGTTTTTTCGCATTCAAAGCTATGAAATTTGTGAATTAACTATAAAAAAAAATCTAATCTTTTGACTGTATTTTTTTGTTTGGTTGTTTGGATCTATTGAAGGACACAATCATCTTCATTGAATACATGCAGAGATATATCATTTAATTATTATTCAGTTGTGAAGTCAAGTGAAGGGACTGTTTGTTGTTTCACTTGTTGTCTCTTTCTCTCAGTCTTGAGGTAAGACTCACTGACATTAATTACTGTGACATTCAGTGCTCTCTCTCTCTCTCTCTCTCTCTCTCTCTCTCTCTCTCTATTTATTTATTTATTTCTCTCTTATTTCACTGATAGTGTCTCTCGATGTGGAACTCCTAAACTTTGTTTTAATGTTAAAATCTATTTAAATGTAAATATATATATATATATTGTATTTTAAAAAAGACAACAAAAGAGTGTTGTGTATTTGCCATTGATTTCCAGGATATAGACCTATAAACTCATACTTCCCTTTCAATTGTCAGTTCCATAGGTTTGGCACCCGATGTCTTTCTCTCTGCCCTCCCCTTACTCCTGACTGACTCACTCTACATAACTGTGAACTCAAAAATATAGCACTCATTGTATTTGTATGTCATCTCATCCTCAAAAAAAATTCAGTGAAGGAGAAAGAAAGAGAGAGGGAGAGAGAAAGAGAGAAAGAGAAAGAGAGGAGACTATTTTCTGTATATATATATGAATAAGTTTTGACAATCACTTACAGAGTAGTACAGATACCTGAAAAGTTAAGACCGAGAGTTAGTAGACTACCAGTGCAAATACATCCGGTGCTCACACACACACAGATGTTGTCTTGAAATTCCATCGAGAGATTTATTATTATTATTGTGTGTTATTTAGAAAATTTAAATGTAATCATCAAAAAAATAAAACAATTTTTTTTTTGTAATTATAGACAATCATCATATGATTTTGAAGACACAACAATATGATCTCACCATCACATCGAGTGATCAGTGACTTTATGTTGCCGGACGACACGGCATCCACTCCGTACAACAATCTTAACTTTGATACAGAAGTACTGGAATTGTGTCACCAGGAGTTGGGTACTAATCAGCTAAGATGTGCCAAATGTATTGTCGTCGGCGACATAGCCGTCGGCAAGACTTGTCTTATCAATCGTTTTGGTTACGATGTCTACGCCAACAACTATAAGGCCACCATCGGTGTCGACTTTGATGTCCAAAAGTTTGAGATTATGAAGATACCATTCAATTTGCAAGTTAGTAGTTATTATTATAAGTTAATAGTATATATAATAGTTAGTTAGTTAGTAGTATATATTAATTAAATATTTATATAAATTTACTACCATTTTGTTTAATTATTAATAAAAATTATGATAATTTCAGTATTTTTCTTATCTATTGCTGACAGACAGTAATATACAGTATATATCTCTTAAGTGTATATCTGAAGACCTAATTTTTTTTCTAACTCTTTGTGCTTATCATTAGTATTCATATAATATGATTATTATATTATAAATAAGTTATATTATGCTGTAAACTATGAATGCAATCTTTTCATAAGTACTGAAAAAAGGAAATAATGATTTATTCAATGATTTTATTATTGTTTTTTTTTTTGTATGATATCATTTATATACAATAATGAACCTTTAAATTATTTTATCTATTCAAATGTCATCTCTATCATTGAATTTGTCATTAAATTGTATAGTATTATTAAATATATTTATTTTATAAATTGTATATAATATTTAAGAAAATAACTGGTAATTAATTTTTACAAAAAAAAACAATTGTTACAAATTAATATTATTCATAAGTTATATTATAATTTTATATCTAATTGTTATTAGTAATGATTTTGTATTAATTATAATAATTATCTGAATGTATACACAGATCTGGGATACGGCGGGTCAGGAGAGGTTTAAATGCATAACGACTACCTATTATCGTGGATCTCATTGTGCGGTCATTGTGTTTGATTTATCCAATATGTCGACACTGTTGAGTGTCGAGAAATGGCTTCAGGAAGTGTTGGACGCCAATAGCCGAGCAGATAAGCCGTTGGTGTTTCTGGTTGGCACCAAAAAGGATCTCTTGTGTGACAGTGCCGCCCAATTTGTGGCCTCTCAGGCGTCCATAATTGCCAATCGTCTGGAGTGTGAGTTTTGGACAGTTTCGGCGCAAACCGGCGAAAATGTCAACGAATTGTTTACACGTATCGCTTGTCTAGTCTTTAATCAATTGATGGCCAATGAGGCCAAAGCCAAACGCGAGTCGCAAAACAGCAGCCAATTTAGTGACATATCTTCGCGCAAAAGTGATAAATATGCCAATAATTTCATCAAATTGACCAAAAAGGATAAAAAACTGAAGAAAGACTTTTGTGTCAAATTTAATTGCATTAATAAATAAAAAGTCAAACAAATTATTTAAATATATTGTAGTTTATAATTAGATATATTAATATTATATAATTTGCTTTAATATTTATACAATTTGTTTTTATAATACTATAAATTTTGTCTGTATATAGTTGTTTAATTACCGGCACATATCTATATATTTTTGATATTTTAGATATAAATCATATCAATAATTTAATTAATGATTTATACTGTTAATCAAAGTGCACATAATTGTATCAAATAATGCTTATAAAGCTCCTGAGTTACAATTGAGATTAATTTATTTTATAATTATATTGTATTTTTAATTTAATTATATTACCTTAATATAAATTATTATAAACTTATTTTAATTATTACATGACTTGTACTTAACTATAATATGCAAAAAAAATATGTAAAATTATAAACTGTTAAATATAAAAATATTACATTTATTGTCTATAATTACTAAATTTTGATTTATTATACAATAATTTATTATAATTTTACATTAATTAAAACTATATTCAGATGCAGTAGTGATTTAAAGGACAACTTGTTGTGGGAATTGGTATTATAGTAACAGAACTGATGGTAAGGTTTGGTGGTATTTGTTAGTCGACACCGACGTCTACAACAACAACAAAATTGTCTAAAGTTTGCTTCCAGTCATTACACTACACGGTCACGGATTTGACCACTTTTACCACTAAATAATTTAATGGTTAAACTGTTAACTAGTAATCATTATTTCAGACACTTCTTGATTTGTCTCATCATTTTTCTTGTCATTTAACTCTAATGTCAAATCAGTTTTAGTATTTTTATTTAAACACTTTGGACCCAAAAATGCAATAGCAATAGCACCTACAGGTGCTGTAATAAGTATTGATAGTACAGCTATTGTCAGCACTAGATTTGCCGTTTCTATCGATGACTGGTCAGCTTTGTCTCGGGCCATATCTAAAGCAATTGGTCCAATAGCTGCCTGAACCGTGGCTTTCGGTAGCCATGAAAAACCAATAAATAGACGCTCTTTTAGTGTCAAATCACAACTAAACACAACTAACATTGCGGTCACTGTTCTAGTAGTCAGTCCTATAGCTAAAGTAATGAGAGCCCAACCGATAGCATCGGATTTCATAGCAGACAAACTGACTTCAGTACCGATTAAAGCAAACAAAAATGGCTGAAATATGAGCCAAAATACTTTAAGAATTGATTCCATGTCTTCATTTGTTGTGTCACTTTGACGCCATTTGATTGCCGCCACAAACGACACGACAAGACAGGCCAGAGGTCCAGCACCTCCTAAATCCATAGATATACTTCCGAAGAGTGCAAATACACCACAAAGTAATAGTAATGATATTCGTAATGACTTTGAATCTTCTTTAACTGGTATATACCATAAAATAAATCCCATAATTATTCCGTATGTAATACCAATTATTGCTTCTACCGGTCCCTTCATTACACTCCAGACCAATGATGAGTTAGTGTCAAACACTAAACCCAAGCAAAGCCCGAAACCAGTGATGGCTAATACATCGTCAACACTGGCGGCGGCGATCACCAGAGTTGGCACTCCTTTGTCTACTCCGTAACCTTTTTCCTGTAGTGATATCATACCGGGAACCACTACAGCTGGCGACACGGCTGCCAATACAAACCCCAACAATAATCCCCAAACAAAAGTAAAATCTAATAAAAGTTTTGAAACCAGTGCTACAGTAATGGCTTCGACGAGACACGGGGTGAATGATAGACGAAAACATACAGCACTTAATTTGACGATTGCTTTTGGATCTAATTGAAGGCCAGCTCTCAATAAGATTATGACGAGTGCTATGGATCGCAATGTCGAAGACAACCTCTTGTTTAAGTTGATATCATAAGTGTTAGAGATTAGGAAACCCGTTATAAGCATTCCTAAGAGGGTCGGCATATGAATTATGCTAAATATTTGGCCAAAAATATAGGATAAAACAAATATTAGTATTAAATTAAAGAGATAGCCATTCGGTGGAAGTGCTTCTTTGCCAAATAATGACCACATTGTACTCCAAATTAGCAATAATAACAATATATACGTCAATACATTCAATGACTTTTTATTGATCAACACTTTCAATAGATTAGTCATTGTTAAGGTTTTTTTGTCATCTATTTTGAATCACAATTCACTAATTATTAAATATTAAATATAATATATTTTGATAATAATTAACAAAACTAGTGAGTAATTACTTTACAAAGACGGTCATCACATTCATTCAACTACTGGTTCTTCAGCTCTCATATATTCCTCTCATATAATACCTGTGCTGTGAATAAGCCATCATTTAAATTCTTGTTGTGAATACATGCGCGAAAACAATTCAAAAAATATATTATGTAATAATAGTTGTTATCATAAACGAAAAATCCAATATAAAACTTATATAATAATAGTATATTGTATTCCTTTCTATTTTTTTTATTTTCAATATTTTTAAACATTTGTTTTATTTTATTTTAGTTTTTTAGGTAATAGTCTGATAATTTGTTTCCTCTGGTATTCACAGCACAAGTACTGTACAATTTATTTCTGTATATAATATCATATAAAAGTTGAAGAACCTGTAGTTTGAATGAATATTTTGTTTTGTTTTTGTAATTACTCGTAATTTTTTTTATTGATTATTAGAAAATATATAATCTAATCATTAGTTATTATTTTTGTCTATTTAAGTTACTTCATAGACAAATGTAATCATTTTCTATAAAATTCTGTAGTATTTTATATAACTTATATTGAAAATTAAATAGATATTTATTTTTGGGTATATACTGTAATTACCCGCATATTTTCGATATAATTTAATTAATGATTTATGTTTATAATCAATGTATAATCGATGTATATAATAATCGCTATAATTAATTGTTAAAATTTAACTATTATTAATAAATGCCTCTAAAAAAATCTTAATTTAAAAATTATAATTTTATCGTTAAATAATTTGATACAACAGTTGCGCCAATCGGTGACAACATTTGTCAATTCAACATTCAATTTGTTGTCATATAAACTGACATTAGATGTCACTAATAATATTAAAATGTGATTAAATGATGAAATGTATGGAAACTTTGATCAATTATTGTATTAAATTTTGTTTAATTATTATTCAATGAAATAATTATTATTTAATTTACAAACAATTTACTAATTTATTGATAAATTTATTAATCAATTGATAATATTACTTATTTTCTAAATTAATTACCAATCATGAGATTCTTATTAGATTATTTTAGATATCAATATATTATAAATAATTTCAAGTAAATTAAATTAAATTACAGACACAATCATTTGAATAATAAATTATTATTTATTTTTATAAACTATTGCTTATAGTTTTAGATAACTGTATGTATTTTTATTATTAATGTAAATTAGAGAAATTTTCTCTTTCAAAACTTTATTATCATTGTTTAGTCTCTCAATTTCAATAACAAAATAATTATTTGTGCGCTTAGTCTATAAATTAGTTTCTAATCTATAAAAACCTATAAAAAGTTAATTTAAATACAGTACAAACAATGTATAGACTAAATGATTACTAAATTTATTAAATGCTAACTTTTTGTGTAACTTTTATAACTGAATAATCCATATATTAATATAATAGTTAACTTATTTTTTACAATAAAGTAAAATTATCTAGTAGTGTTTAATTTAATATCCAAATAATTTTTTTTTAATTATTTAATAAATCAAAATCTGCAATCGTTTAAAAAACATATTATAAAGTGTTATTTATTATAAATTAATTGCTATTGTATTTAAAAATATATAAGATATATAACAGTTAACGTCGATAGTCATTATTAGTGTATTTTAATGATAAAAGTGTCGATCAATCATAAAAAATATTATTATTATCACAAACACACACTAATCCTCTTTATGAACCAAATGTGTGCATCAATTAATCACACATTATATTAAATAAAATAATATAAAAAAGAGAGTAAATATGCTTTTAAAAAATAAAAATAAGTGACTTATGCTTTATAAGTAATAAAAAAAAAAGTTTCAAATGTTGCTCAAAAACACCCGTACAGGATATACCTGATTGTTGACTACAGTACTAATAATATTAATGTATTAATTAATTTTAGTGCTAAATAAAAATTACCTTTTTTTCACTTAAATAAGTTTCACTCATAGAGTATTGTATTTTGACGTTTGAATTCATATTACATATACAAACATACTGTAAATGTAATGTAATGTTGTATTACTTATTATAATAAAACATTGAAAGCGATGTCGTGTTCACTGCTGTTGTTGTGATCATAGACTGACACACAACCAGTTGGGCTATGAATGCGATAATAATACTATAATAACGATATAAAAACTAAGATAAACACAAAAATTTGGTCAACATATCAATAAAACAAAAAAATATGGATGACCTGGATCAGTGATATGTCGACAATGTCATAGCAATTTGTGTTTGTAATATTATATACCCTAACCCACACACCCACTCATAGTGTATTAATTTTTTTTTAATCAATTTATTTGTCAGATTTATATTAGTTGATTAAGTGTGTTTAAACAAAATTACCAAGTTTCATTTATTTATTTATTGTTGAATTAAATGCCTAACATTATGTTTGTTTTTTGGTTACAGTATTAATTAATATTATAAACAATTATTAGTTTTAAAAATAATTATTTATAAAGTTTTGAATATATTGTGGTTATGATATGATATTTACATTCAAATATGATATAAATTTATGCAATTCATTAAAAAAATCGTTCAAATCATGCAAATTGTTGTTATCAACTAAAATATTATTAAAAAAAAGTTAATTTATTAATTTATTAAAAGAAATTTTATTTTATTTGTTATATATATTTATATATTTTTAAAAAATACTAAATTATTTTCAATGAAAAAAGTTGTGTGACTTATATATTATATATGATTTACAAATCGTTAAAAAATGTCATTCAATAACAAAATGTTTGACTTAATTGTCACGACATATGTCTTAAATCTTTTGGTCAGTTATTCATCGACATCGACGGTCACTATCGATGTCGACAAACACTATTTAAAACACAATCAACTGATTGATTATATGAATGAATTGCACCAAAAGTATCCAAATTTAGTGCAATTGTCATCCATTGGGAAGAGTGTCCAACACAGAGATCTAATGACAATCAAAGTGACAAACAATGTATCACAAGTTCGGCCACTTTTGAAGCCGATGTTTAAATATGTGGCCAATATTCACGGTAATGAAGCACTCGGTCGACACTTGATGTTAGTTTTGGCCAAATATTTGTGCGAAAACTATGGATCAGATAAGAGAGTGACGAAAATTTTAGACACAACTGAAGTGCATCTCTTGCCGTCAGTAAATCCCGACGGCTTCGAGTCGGCCAAAGAGGGCGACTGTTACGGTGCGACCCGACAGTCAGGTCGACAAAATGCCAATAATGTTGATCTTAATCGTGATTTTCCCGATCAGTTTATGAAACCTGAAGCTATCGGCCAACGACAACCGGAAACTTTGGCCGCAATGACATGGATTGTGTCCAACCCTTTTGTATTGTCTGCCAATCTTCACGGCGGATTAGTAGTGGCCAGTTATCCGTACGACGATTCGCGCTCACATGCTATCAGTGGTCACAAAAGTCCGACTCCTGATAATACATTGTTTGAACACTTGGCGATCACTTATTCACAAAAACACAAGACTATGAAGAATGGAAGCGTTTGTTTGGACGATAGCTTTACTAATGGCATCACAAACGGCGCCGAATGGTATGATGTGTCCGGTATATCACCAGAAAAAAAATTGGCTACAATTTAGTTGGATTTTAATCATAACTCGACTAATAAAACATTGTTTGCTTAGGAGGAATGCAAGACTTCAATTATGTCCACAGCAACTGTTTTGAGATTACTCTTGAGTTGTCGTGTTGTAAATACCCTCACGAGTCGGAACTGCCAAACGAATGGCTTAATAACAAAGAATCTCTTCTTACTTATATTGAAAATGTATATATAATTAGTTCATATTTTTCTTTATAATTTACTGTAAATTTAAATAAAATTTATTTGAAAAATATTTCAATCTCTAGACTCAAATGGGAGTTAAAGGCATTATCAGAGATTCGTTGACCGATAAACCACTTGAAGGAGCCGTTATTAATATTGCCGGCATTGACCATAATGTTAGCACAACTAATAGAGGGGAATATTGGCGTCTGGCTATGCCCGGTGTCTATATTATAACTGCCAGTGCGACCGGTTATGAACCAATGATCAAAAAAGATGTCGTCATTAAAGATAGCTCAGGAACTAATCCCGTTGTTGTAGATTTTAAACTGAATCCAATCGGTGGCATCCGATATCCGAGCGAAAATACACCCGAAAGTGAAGCCGAAGTTAGTGACGATAATCATAGAAAATTAGACCAAAGTTCAACTACAAGTGTCGCTCCTTTAGAGGGCCAGCATCGGGATTATGGCTTTGTTTCGGGTCATAACTTAACCGAAACAAATGATTTTCTAACAAAAACTGATTACAAACACCATAATTATACTGAACTTAAAGAATATCTTCAAAAACTGAACGCCAAATATCCTCAAATGACTAGACTTTACTCAATCGGCAAATCTATTGATGATAGAGATCTGTATGTTCTTGAGATTAGTGTCAAACCTGGAATACACAGACCAGGTGTACCCGAATTTAAATACGTGGCTAATATGCACGGGAATGAAGTAATTGGTCGCGAATTAGTACTTTTATTTGCCAAATATTTGCTCGAAAACTATGGATCCGACGATAAAATCACTAATTTAGTTAATACGACAAGAATTCATTTGATGCCAACCATGAATCCCGACGGATACGAGCGGTCATTGTTGGGCGACTGTAGTTCAGGATATGGCAGAGGAAACGCTCATAGAGTTGATCTTAACCGCAATTTTCCGGATCAATATATGACATACAAAGAGAATAGAGTTCAAGAAAAGGAGACATTAGCTGTCATGAAATGGATTCAATCGCTACCATTTGTTTTATCAGCCAATCTTCATGGCGGCTCTTTGGTTGCCAATTATCCCTACGATGGAAATGTTGAACAAAGAAATGGCATATATAGTAAAACTCCTGATGACGTACTCTTCAAACATTTAGCATTAGTTTATTCTTTGGTAAGTAAATTAATAATAACTACTAATATTTAAGAAATTTAATTACCGGTAATTGTTTATAATTTAATTGTTGTTTATTAATAACTAGAATCACGCGACAATGCATTTGGGAAAGTCGTGTCCAAAAGATTGCGGTATTATGAACGAGAACTTTACGTACGGCATCACCAACGGTGCCAAATGGTATGCACTGTACGGAGGAATGCAAGACTGGAATTACTTGCATTCAAATTGTTTTGAGATTACACTTGAATTGGGTTGTCGTAAATATCCGTACGAATCGGATATTAAAATGTTTTGGAATCAAAACAAGAAACCGTTGGTCACATTCATGGAAGAGGTTCATAAAGGTGTCAAAGGATTTATTGTCGACACCGATGGAAAACCAGTACCCAATGCAACCATTCGTGTAGAAGGCATAGCACATGACGTTCAATCAGCTACTGATGGAGACTATTGGAGACTTCTTTTGCCGGGTTTTTATCAGATCACTGCTTTCAAGAAGGGTTTCGGTTCGCAAACTCAGAAGATCCGTGTGACCTATGGTTTGGCCACACAAACCAACTTTACGATAGTAAACGATGGCATTCATGGCCGAGTGGTCGATGAAAACGGACTGGGAATCAGTAACGCGAATATTTACATTGAAAATATAGACCATAAAGTGTATACTACTGACAGCGATGGTAATTATAGGATACCACTGTTTGATGGCAAATATGTGTTCAATATTGATGCCGACGGCTATTGGCCGTCAACTAAAATGGTGACCATAAGCACCGATAGAGACAACTTGTTTGTCATCGATATGTTGAGTGACACTAGAATTGCTGGCATTCCTCGATCAGTGTTTGTTATTATATGCGGTTCAGCTATGCTAACGGTGCTCGTCGTGTCGTTGTGTGTCTACAATATTTTAATGCAACAAAAATATAAAAAGAAAGGTTTCCAAAGGATAGGCGATGACGACGAAGAAGAATTGGAGGAAAAAGCTTCTAATGATAAACCATATATTGATGTCAAGAAATACAAAGACGTGTCCTCCAGTTCCGAGGATGAGTTATATAATGTTCATCAATGGGACAAAAATCAATTATAGATTAATTTGTTATATAAATTTAGTTTTCAATTTAGTATTTTATTATTTTGTTAATCTGTCGACTCTAGTCTTCCATTTCAAACCAGTTTTATAAACTAAAAACAAAACAAAAAATGATTTTAACTCTACTATAAACTATATTTATTAATCTCTTTATACTGTAAATCATTTTTTGTTAATGTTTTATTTGCATAATTATGTTTTATTTAATTATACAATTTTAAGATATTTTTTAAAAATTTATCAAAATTATGTTAGCACGGTAATTTTTTGCTTAAATTTGTATATTTTAAGAGTAATTATTATTAATTGTATGAATTATTAATGATAATTGTGTTTTGAGTAATAGATTCATTTAAATTCAATTGTTATTTTAAGTAAACAATATGATTAAGTTTGTTGAATATAACTTAATATATAATTTATTAATTATTTCAATTGAAAAATACGGTATATTACTGTAGTAATTTTTGAACTGGGTAAATGATTAAAAATTTTATGTACCGGTATATTTTGTTTTTATTATCATGTGATAAATATTTTAACGATAATTGTATTTTGTATTTATCAATATTTTTTATAATTTTTTAGTTAAAATATTAATGCATTACATTGTAAACATTTTTGTAAATTAATCTAATTTTTTAAAATTATTATATTTTAATTGTAGAATTTTTCATTATGATAGTTCTTTAAAATTATATTAAAAAGGGGTTTTTTGGTTTGCATTAATTTTTTAGTGCAAAACATTATTATTTGTGAGCTAATAACTGTATGTAAATAATTGTAATTTTTTAATATCTAAAAAAATACGAAAGATCTTATATTTAATAAATAATAAATTTATTACTTGTAAATTGACTTTCTTTTGAAACAATTGATCTAGGACAATTACATGATATTACAAATATATGAAACAATATAATTTAGACTAAATTTAATTTTTTATAAAACATCAAAATCAAATTTTTATTATTGGCATAATASTTGAATATTTAATAAAAATTAATGATATTTCTGTAAATGTATTTCAATAAAAATAAGTAAGATTTACACTTTAATATATTTTAAATAATGAATTGATTATTTTTTTTATTTAGAAAAAATATATTAAAAAATAATTTAAAATTCAATGTTAAATATTTATGTTAAAATATTGGAAATTTGCAATTAATATTTGCAATATATATATCACTTAAGTTTATAAATAACATATTTTATTGCAATATAAAACTATATACAAAGTATTAATATATGTATTTTTTAAAATATATAATATATTATTATTAATACACTTAAAAATAATTCATCACTTTTTTCAAGGGCTACTATTACTAGTTTGTCATAAATTAAGTTTTAAAAAATTTAAATTTTAAATTTCAATCATAAACTTGTACTTTAAATGAACCAAAATTTCTAAAAAATAACAAATTTTTTAATAACTATTTTGTATTTTATAAAAAAAAGTATGCATTGATAGCAATATATTAAATAATAAAAATTAATTTGTGATAAACAAGGTTTAGATTACAGTAAAAACTTTTGAAAATAGTATTTCTCAAATTGAGTAAAGTTTTTAAATAATTTTTAAATGAAAATACAATGGATTTAGAAATAGCTATCGCGTGGACTAATTTGACATTTACTACAAAAAACAAATGCTTTAGTAAAGAGACAACTGTTTTGGATTCATTGAAAGGTGCCGTCGCTTTCGGTACATTGACGGCACTGATGGGACCGTCCGATTCGGGAAATACTACTCTTCTCAAGTGTCTTAGCCATCAAATCAAATACGGTATAAGTAGTGAAACATTGATTTACGCCAACAATAATTCGGACATCCGATCCTGTTTTATCCATCAACGACAGCGAGAGTCACTGTCTATGTGTTTAACTGTCAAACAAAACTTGATATATGCGTCCAAATTAAAGAACAGTTGTTTTAGTTACCAAATCAATCATCAAAAATGTGCTGAAGATTTGATGTCTGAGTTGTCTATGAGTCATATTGCAGACATCAGAGTTGTTAATTGCAGTGATAATCAACAGCAATGTCTATCCATTGCTATAGAGCTGACACAATATGACAAACCAAACTTTATGTGCATCGATAAGCCGACAACAGGTCTGGACATAAAGGCGGCCGAAAATGTATGAAAAACTTATTGTTTATATATATATTTTGAAACAAATATTGACAATTTCTACCAATTTAGGTGATCCAGTGTTTAAGTAATATAAGCAAAGCATACAAAATAGCAGTTATTGTATCAATAGATGTGCCAAACACTGACACACTTATGCTCATCGATCAGCTCTATGTGTTGGCTAAGACTGGTTTGTGTGTGTATTTTGGTTCACCCCGTGATCTGTCCGTCCATTTGACCGAATGTGAGATTGAATACAATCCGAATGAGAGACCTATTGAAGCACTGGTCAGAAGCTCTGCCAACAATTCCGATGATCAATACATCCAGAACTTGAGTGATAAAACCAACGATGATATGGAGTGGTTGGACAACAAATGTCAAACTGATACCAAGTTTTTTGATAAAGGAGTTTTCATCCAAAGTTCAAAACGATTTAATCTCTTCGATATTTGGTATCTTTTAATGCGAATGATAACAACTGATTATATCTGCAAATGGAAATCACTTTTGGCCGAAATGATCATTTCGTTGACATTTCCAATAATTCTTGGATTACTTTTTAATCGTGATATCACTGCTACCGACGGCTGTCTAAATGATAGCTATTTTAACAGAAGTTGTACTCAAATATTGGACGAGCAGTTAGTACTGGACGACGGCGTTAAATACCACTATTTGGTCGCCGCAGTAATGATAGTAATGAGACTAACGTTATCTACGGTTGTCTTTCAAAGAGATGTTCAGATATTTTTCACAGAACACCAAAACAGTTAGTTTTTTTCTAATAATCATAATTATAATAACTTATATTTTTGATGATTTTTAAAATTGTTAATCTATCTAAATTTAACCAGGATGGTATAGCACCGGTGTATTTTATTTAACTAAAAATTTAATAGATATAGTTCCTGTGCTGTTTTGTACTGTTATTATGTCGATCACCAGTTTTTATATGACCGCTCCCATCTATGACACCCATCGACTGGTCCAATATGTGACAGCATTTATTTTCGGTGCAATTGAAACACAGAGTTTGGCATATTTATTAGTCACACTGTTTGTTAATCTTAAAGTATTGTCCATCATCGGGATGTCCATCATTTTGTTTGTTTATAGCAATGTATTCAGTAATGCAATGCTAAGAATTGATGATTTACCTCTGGGACTACAATCAATAGGTTTGCTATCAATGGTCTATCATTTATATAATCAAATTTTGGTTATCATATATGGTCTTAATTGGTGTCCTAATAATAACAATTCATATGTAATGCAAAAATTTGGATTAACTAATTCAATGGTCAATTCACTGCCTATATATCAGCTCAGTTCATGTCTAATATTCCGGATTCTAGCGCTTCTCATACTTTATATTAAAGCCAATAATACGTTTGATTGTATGAAAAACTTGATGTCAACTCATATTAAGTTTAAAGCAAAATCCAGTGAAAGTGAAAATCGTAAAAATAGCCGAAATTTACGAAGAGTTTCGGTAATTGATGTCAATAAGATCTTCGGTAAAGTTTATGTCAATGAAGAGAAAATTGAATTTGAAAATAGATTGGAGATAATTGAGCGACAATTTGATAGTAAATCTCATAGAGAAATATCTATTGCATGGACTGATCTGACATTTAAGAAAATTGACAATTGTTTTGCAAATGAAGTGGTTATTCTTGATTCAATCAATGGTTATCTTGAATTAGGGACACTCACGGCATTGACGGGTCCACTGGACAGTGGAAAGACAACTCTATTAAATATTATTAACGGTTTGCATAAGTCATACCTGACTAATGAGACTCAAATACATTTGAATCGGTATCAATTGATACGCAAGTGTTTTATAGCAAAAGATGTTTCAAAGCATATGTTATGTGGTCTTAAAGCTAGAGAAGCACTCATTTATGCGTCGATGTTAAAGAATGTTAACAAAGACATCGATCACAAAACAAAAGTCAATGAAATGATGAATGACTTACTTATCAGTGATATCGCCGACACTTCATGTGGTAACTGTAGTGTTGGTCAACAGAAACGTTTGATTGTGGCCATGGAATTGATTGCATGTGATGTGCCTAATGTCATATGCATTGATGACCCAATAGATGGTCTCGACATTATGTCAGCCGAAGTGGTTATACAATGTTTGAAATATCTGAGTCGTAAGTACAGTATATCAATAGTGACATCAATAGTCAACTCAATTGGTTTCAATATTTTTAACCAATTTGATCGGTTATATATCTTAAGTAATTGTGGCAAATGTCTATATTATGGTTTACCAACAAATCTTAAGAGTCACTTAAATGATTGCTCTATAATTGTTGATGAATTTCAAACACCTGTCGAAGTGATCAACAAATTGGCCTTAAATGACAACAACGATAATCTGGTAATTAAGTTAACAAACACGACATCTGTTAAACTCAGAGATGATATACTTATGCGCTATAAGAATGAGATAAAAATTTCTGCAAATGGATTCAATAACGGAAGCAAACGATTTAATTGGTCTAACTTTTGGACTGTTATGCGGCGCACAGTTATCTATAATTATCGATACTATTGGAAAGTATTGCTATTGGAGTTGATAGTTGTCGCACATTTTGCCATTGTTTTGAGATTATATGCCAAACCCGAGATGACTGAACCAAACGGTTGTGTCGGCAGTTTTGATGATGAATTTCCGTACAGATGTAACAAATCTGATGCTAAACTCGATGACGAAAGTCTTACCGCACGGAACATAGCATATCACTGGTCGATGATTTCGGGTTTTGTATTAATCACTTTAGTTATATCTACTTTAAAATGTTTGATTGAAATGAAGACATTCTTAACAGAACATAGAAATGGTAATTAAATATATTGTTTTACTATAAGTTTAATCATTTTATTTTTTTAAATGATCTTAAAGTCTGGTACAGTACTGGTGTCTACTTTTGGACCAAAACAGTGGCCAATATTATACCGACACTCATCAACACACTGATTGTTACGTCTATAGCAAATATATACAACCAATTGTCAATATTTTTGATGTTAACATCTGTGATGACATTAGCCTCGTTAGTGATACAGAGTATGGGTTATCTAATTGGTGTCCTATTTAGCGGAAATAAAAGTTTGGCGGCAATGATAGTCGCCGCCTGTTTTGCAGATCAACTGTTGTTATCTAACTTTATAGTACTAACCAAAAATCTTCACTACTTTCTGGAAATGGTCAGTGATTTATCTGTCATTAAACTGGTTTCAGAATCAATCGTTGTCTTCCTCTACGGTTTCAATCGTTGTAATGACAATGAATTATCTTTTCCACTCTATTACATGGACATCACTGATCAGATATTTTTTAAGAATATTAGACTATTGGTCTATCAAATGCTTTTCTATCAGTTGTTGACATTGATTGCGATTATCATTAAAACAAATGCCTTTCCTGAAGATCAATCTTATAAACAACAGTTTCTTTTACTATACACCAGATTTAAACCTAAAAAGATATTAATACTGTAATTGGATTTTCACTCAATTTCATTAATTTATTTAAGTTTGTAATACAGCACTTAAAATATATCGTAAAATATAATATAAATATATATTATATTTTACGATATATTTTAAGTACTGTATTACAACTTATATATATATATATATATTAATAATTAAAATTAACTCAAATAATACAATTAATTAAAAAGTACAATAAAAATTTTTGATTTAATTATAATATTTATTTAATTTTTGGAATAAATCAATTGTAAAACTATTTTAATTTAATTTTTTTATCAAATATGAATAACAATATCATTTATAGAAATTATTAACATCAATTAACCTAAATTCATATGCTTTATAAATTATTTCATATTAAACTATATTATATTATTTTTTTGAAATATACAAAAAAAAGACAATTAAAATAAATGAATCACACAATTAATTATTACCTATATTTATCAACAAAATGACATTGAATTAAATTTTTACCATAAATTTATCCCAAAATTGGAGGATTTTCTCACATTACGTAATCGGTTGTAAACTAATTGTTTTCATAGTGTTTTTAATAACTGAATCAATGGTTTAATCCATGAAAAAAAACTATTGCATAATATTTACTGTATAAAAACAGACTAAATATATAAATAAATATATATATCTAAATAATTAACTAATATGTTATATACACTATATTGTATAATATTATATACAACATTTATAAAAAGTATTTACTATATTAATATTTATAATATAAAACTTCCTCACATTTACATATATTATATACAGTATATAAATTAGCATCAAATTATAATTATATATTTTATTAAAAGCATAGGTAAATGTTTAAAAAACAAAATTTTCACAAGTTTTCAGTGGAATTTTCCCGTTTGACAGCGAACTTGAAAATCATAACTCACTAAAACAATATTTATATATTTGTATATAATTTTTGCATCAATTTTTTAGTATTATTATTGTTGTTTTTGTTATAACTGTAGGTATAATTAGCATTAATTTGATTTAATTTTTACAATTTTTTTTTTATAAAAAAAAGTAAACAAAAAGATATATTTTTTGGGAAAACAATTAATTAATTTATTTAAAAAATAACTTTAAAAGACAAAACATTTTTCCCAATATTAAGTGTCATTAAAGAAAAAAATTGCGATAAAAATTTTTGCATATAATATACAGTATATTTGTACATAAAATATGTATATTTTATTTATTTACTATACAAAAAAGTTATATATATTTTATTTAATTTAATAGGTTTTTATTTCTAATGAAATTTTCCCATTAAATAGAAAAAAAATATTTTAATGAAATTGAAAACAAAAAAAATATTAATAACTCGTCCGAGTCTTCGAAAACATTTCGAAAAAAACATTTGTTGTTTTAAAACAATTTTTTTATTTAAATATTTATCAGAAAATTAAAAGTCTAATTTGTAATCATAAATATATTTTTTGAATTTTTATTTATTGAGTTAATGTTATTAATATAATATAATGAGTGACAAAATACTGTCGTTAAATCAGACACCGTATGTTCGGATCATTGAACAGCCGGCCAGAGGCGGCACCCGATTTCGGTACGAATGCGAAGGCAGAAGTGCCGGATCCATACCGGGAGTCAACTCGACGCCCGATATCACCACATATCCGGCAATTCAGGTATGAAAATATTAATTTGTTAATAAAGTTTTCAATTATAAATGTGATCCTTTAAAAAAATGTATGTTTGCATTTTGAATAACCTTGGATGATGATGATTAGTTTGGAAAAATTTTTCAAATAAATATTTATTGATATTTACCATTTGTTTATATATATCGATATATATATATATATTTAAATTAGATAATGAACTACACGGGCAGTGCATTGGCCATTGTTTCGTGTGTGACCAAAGATTTCCCGTACAGACAACATCCGCACAATTTAGTGGGCGAACGATGCAGTAATGGTATCGCAAAGATTGTCATCGACAACAAGGATATGATCGCCACATTTCCATCGATGGGCATACAGTGCGCCAAACGCAACGACATACGAGTGCGATTGAAACGACGACAAGCCCTGCAAATTGATCCGTTTGACTGTGGCTTTGATCATATGAATTGTTCATCATTTGAGATCAATTTGAGTGCTGTTAGGTATGTGCTTCAGCAATGGTATGAGTGCTAAAATTATTATTAATTTTTTGTCTTCAATTGCTTAACACTTAGACTTTGCTTTCAAATTTTGATTGAAGACCCGAAGACCAGTCAATACTCAATACCATTGCAACCGGTCGTCTCCGATGTCATCTTTGACAAGAAATCGTGTAACGAACTCAATATTATTGACATATCATCGCACACTATATCGTCAAATGGTTCAAAACTTATGCTTTTTACGTCTTTTGTTTTACGGGACGACATCGAAGTTAGGTTTTATGAATTGGATGACCAAAATCAAGTCAAATGGCAAGACTCTGGAGTCATTGCATTCATATATCGACATTTAGGTATCTCATTATTGACACCCAAATACACGGAATCTTTGGGTCAAGAAAAGACTGTTTATCTGCAACTGAGACGACCGTCAGATCAGGAACTGTCAGCTCCTGTTAAACTGAAATTGGTATCACAAGTGATCGATCAGGACATTGATGTTCAACCAACGACACTGCCGTTAATTGCAAGTATGTCTTACAATTAATTTATTTAGATTTATTTGACTATTTTTATCATTTAAATTTAAATGTTTTCTTTTCTTAAAAAATATAATTTCCCAGAAATATCGAGACCTTCATTAGCCAGTAGATCATTGTCACCGTCGAGGAAGAAGTTGTGTGTCAGCAATGGTGTAGACAATTGGAGAGAAATTGTTGCCAAAAAAGCAGACTTTCCTTTTCCAATACTCAAGGCTGCCATCAAACGAGAAATATTTATAAATCCAGTAATTATATCCTAAAATAATTAAGCAAATATTTTTTATATTATTTATTTTGTTTTTATAATTTTTAATATACAATTTTTTTAAAAATATRCTAATTAGTAAAATTATTACAACTAATTACTTTAATTAATAAACATTTTTTTAATAAATTTACTATTAATTCACAGCCAAAAGCGATATCTAATGAATCAATTGGATCACATAATATCACTAATCATTTTGATTACAACAATAATAATAATTTAAATAATAATAATAATAATAATAAAAATTATTTTATAAAATATCACAATAATAAAGAAGCAAATTATAGCAAACATTTTACAAATTCTAATAACAATATTAATAATGGCAATGATTTTATAGCACAAATAAATTATAGATTTGATAATAATAGTAATAGTAATAATAGTAATAACTATATTAATAATATTAATAATAATATGGGAAATAAAAGATCATTTGACGTTAATGACGACCAAAATCTGGTCATCGATTTGACCACCGGTACGACAGCCGCCGACTCATCGAAATCGTGTAATAAACAACAACTTCAACAACATTTTAATCATTATCGTCATCACCACCACAACCATTATCACAGTCATCTGCAATATATAGATAATAATAATAATAGTAATAGTGATTTAGATGACAATAATCGACAGTCACTATTGGTATCGCATGCAAATGATTTTTGTTGTCAGGTTAACACAATAGATGATACAGATATCGATGTAGTGGCCAATGATGATGATAACGATAATAATAATGATAATGATTGTGATGATAAAGAATTGGCATAATARTTGTATAAATAAATAWATATATATATTTATATATATTGTTATAATTGTTATAATTTAAATATTGTTAGAAAAAAAATTATATTATTTTTTATAAAGATTTATTTGTATTGCTTTTTGACTATATTATTTTTTTAAATAGTTATATTGAAATTAAATAAAGAATTTTATATATATATATATATATATATATATAAAAGTTTAACAATTATTTATTGTTTGTTAATGTGTTTATTTATTTTTAGATTATTTGATACTTTATAAATTCAAATATAATTGATATCAGATATCATGAATCAATGTTATAAATTAATATAATATACTTATAATTATATATACTGTAGTTATTATAAACTAATTTTCAAAAAATTATTAAAAATTAAAGCAATGTTTAATAATTATATATAATATAATAGATAATTTAAATATTACAAAGAGTGAAAAATATATTTAATTTCAAGGATATCTAATGCAATAAATTCATCTAATGTACTGATTATTATATAAACTTTTATCAATCAAATAAAAAATAGTATATATATTTATATATATATATATATATATATATAAAATTTTTAAATAAAATTGTAAATTATAAAATAATTTGTTTTTTGTAAACCTTTGTGATACTACAGCAATAACTGACTGTCCATCAAATTTATAATTTTGTTTGTTTTTTCTTTATATTCTCTCTGAATCTCTCTGTGAAATAGTTTGTGAAAAATTCTGGTACCAACTGTTGTGACCGACTTTCCCCATGAATTRTGTGGTTCAACGGGAAAAAAATGGTTACCCAACGATCAGACACAACTACATTCAATATTTGCGCAAATTTTAAACCAGTAAATGTATTATAAAACAATATTGATATAAATACRGTACTGTATGATTTATTTGCAGCTAAATTATGATTTTAAACTCTAGTTTTTTTAATTGGAAATTTGTTTATTATTTTTTCATTATCTTAAAAATAAATATTGTCATCACTTTGTTATTTTCAGTAATATGATATATATAATCTTGTTTATAATTAAATTTATATTTTACAATCAAAACTCGTGCATAGAGTCAGYATAAACATCATATATATATACCGGTATATATAAACATATACTRTAGTTGAAAAATAATGTTTTGATAATATTTATTATACAAGAAAATTTGTATTATTTTTTTAAATAATAATAATAATTTAAAAAACAGATTAAGGTTTATACCTCTATATAAATAAAAACAAATTATGATTTGAATATCAAATCTTTTTAAAATTAACATTTAGTTTGATTATTAATATAAAACAAATAACTCTCTAAACAAACTCAGGTAATAATAATWAACAACAAATTATTTATTTCGGTCACAATTTTCCCGAAACTTTTTGTTGACCATAAATGAAGTGTCATTGTTATTATCATTAGGCGAGAGTCGATGTTTGCCATTAATACGATGAGGTGATGGTATGTGAGATGATTTATTATCACTTTGATTAGTCGACTCTTCTCGATCTCGATTAACATCATTACCGCCGATGTTAGCAGCGGTTGTCTCATTTGATTTTAATTTGTRATTATTATTATCACCCGTACCTCTCATGTAATATTTGGTAAAAATATTACAATAGTTTGCACGCAATGATTCGGTAGTTATACTAGAATTACTATTTAGATGATTATTATTATGAATATGATAATAATTATTGGATTCTTTTAACTTATTGGTCATCAATGGTGACATTCTGTGTCCATTGAGTCCATTCTTGAGCCGAACAGGAGATTTACGTGAAAATCCGAGTCCCAGATTGCTATAGGTCTTCATGTTTGGCGACACTTGTGGTGATGAATGGGATGTAGTTTTAGATGAAGATGGAGTTGTTGTTGTTTTATTAACAAAATCATTGATAATTATTGGTGTATTCATTGTCTCTTTCTTTATAACCACATTAGTCGTCCTCAAGTTATCGTTGACAGTATTAACAATTGTCGTAACATTCATGCCATCAAATTTTTGACTTTCACTTTTGACATCACTATTGATGGCGTCATTCTTTTGATCTTTCATTTCCTTCTTTCGTCGTTTCATTTGTTGATAATATTTCTTACATTCGTTGCGACTGAGAGTCACTTTGAGATCAATTCCCAATCGGTTCCGATATATAATGTTTTCTTTGCAAACATTCTCCAAAAGGTTTTTAGTTTGTTTGTTATCATTAAGAAGATAATCATTGGTTTGTGACAATAGTTTACTCAAATCGAGAATCTTATCCAACCTATTGTTCTTTTCATTCATTTTGGTCTGAAGATCGACCAACAGTTTAGCGAAATGGAGTCGCGTTTGATTCAATTGRCTGTTAATTTCAGCCAATTCTTGCCGAACGTCATTCTTCAGTGACGACAATTGCCGTCGAAAGTCGTCCAGCATTTGGTTAGTAGTCTTCAGAAAATCTTTGGACTTCATTTGACACGATTGACAACAAATACAACCAAACATTGTCTTAGGTTTGCTAGTCGTGTCTTCAGTTGATTCCAATGCACACAAATTGTCCAAAAATAATGTGAAATTGTCTCTCAAATCTTTATAATCGTCTTCATATGTGTCCAGACTGTCAAAGTCCTGGAAGTGTTTGTAGATATCGTTGAATGCGTTGTCGCAGTCGATAAACTCTTGATTGAGAAAGACATCGCGTTTGATGAGGTTATCGGCCGTCAAATTTTTATGATAGCCGACAAGTGAATTAATCACTCGTTGTCGGTGATAATAACCGGCCGAACTCGCGAATGGCTTAACACAGGTAGCCATCGGGTGGCCAACAGATGGTCAACGAAACGGCGCCAAAAAGTCTTTGGAAAGTCTATGTCTCGTTGAAAGTGTTGTGCGATTGGARAGACAATTGATCCGAAAATTACTAGTCATTCATCACTTATGAATAGAGAGTATAATCGGTAACCATTCGGGAAAAAGATTCGGTAATCAGTGTCTGAAATAAGTGGACAAACAATCAATGAAATATTGGACAGTCTATTGAAATCACAAACATTTTACACATGTTTTGAATATAAGTTATAACTTATAGTATTGTATGTAATAATAACAGTCGTATTCATAGCGATATATCCATAGTTTAACTGTCAATACAATGGTTGTTCCCAATAGAGAGAGACAGAGACTATGATTCAGTCAATACGACTACACACTGCTATTGACACCCCTTATGCTTATAGTCAATGTGTTTGTCCTACAAAATACAGTTTTATTATACTAACGTAGTTTACGTACGRAAAGCTATACTTTATATTATAAAATATTAGTGAGTATTTTGGAGCCAACTTTTTTTTGGGTCATTTCATCCAATAGTGTGATGCAATCGTCACATAAAAGTTACAAATATTTGACTAAAAATGAAAAACTTTTGTTTTAGTATTTATTTTTTTGTGCCTAATATTCATAAGACGATTAGATAGGAAATCATATATAATTTTGTTTTAAGGCTCATGTATTATACTCATGGCTCATGTATGTATAGTCCCAGTCCTATATTTTCTTCACTTCTAGTGTTAACTTGTAATATAAAAATAAACAAACTTTTTACGATTACCTATTAGTTATGTGAAGGTCATTGAACTTTCCTAACAATACCTAACAATAATACCTGTGTCGAGGACAGGAAGGACAGGAAGGACAGGAAGGACAGGGAGGATAGGGATATACTTTACTTTATATATATAATTGAAATAAAATTATTTATTTATTTTTTAAGACTAAAACTATACACATTTTATTGGTTTAAATGTCATCTTAAATATTAAATAGAAATACACATTAGAGTCAACAAATGATTTATATAACATTGAAAAACTAAACTTTTAACTTAAACTTAGTTTTAACATAAAATATTTAAATTTATTGATTAACTTTTTTTTTGAAAAAAAATTAAGACATAATATGAATGTTAAAAGTGTTTGATATTTAATAGATATTTTGTTTTCTATTAATTTTTAAAAAATCAAAAYTTCGATGAATTTAAATAGCGATAAGTTTTGAGAAGTTAAACGAAGAATCGGAGCCTTTATTGGATGTCTTGAGTGTTAGGATTATAAGGAGTGAAATGACAGCCATTGGACCAAATTTGCTGATAATGTTGTCCATCGATTCGGTTTTTATTGACATTATTGGCCACTGTTTGTCTTCAATTGCGCGAACAGTTCGCTCATCAAAACGCTTCAAATCAGTTTCGATTTGAGATTCTCTGCGGTTATCGTCAACCCGTCGATCTCGAGTCTCATCCATTTGTCGATCWCGAGTTCATCYACCCGTCGATCTCGAGTCTCATCCATTTGTCGGTCACGAGTTTCATCTACCCGTCGATCACGAGTCTCATCCATTCGTCTTTCTTGTGTTTCGTCTACCCTTCGGTCGCGAGTTTCGTCCACACGTCGGTCACGGGTCTCGTCCAATCGTCGTTCGCTAGTCTCGTCTACCCGTCGGTCACGAATTTCATCCATTCGTCGGTCGCGGGTCTCATCCATTCGTCTTTCTTGTGTTTCGTCTACCCGTCGGTCGCGGGTCTCGTCCAATCGTCGTTCGCTAGTCTCGTCTACCCGTCGGTCACGAATTTCATCCATTCGTCGGTCGCGGGTCTCATCCATTCGTCTTTCGGGTGTTTCGTCTACCCGTCGGTCGCGGGTCTCGTCCATTCGTCTTTCGGGTGTTTCGTCTACCCGTCGGTCACGAGTTTCATCCATTCGTCGGTCGCGGGTCTCATCCATTCGTCGGTCRCGAGTCTCGTCCACCCGTCGGTCGCGAGTCTCGTCCATTCGTCTTTCGGGTGTTTCGTCTACCCGTCGGTCRCGAGTTTCGTCCATTCGTCGGTCGCGGGTCTCATCCATTCSTCGGTCGCGGGTYTCGTCCACCCGTCGGTCGCGAGTCTCATCCATTCGTCGGTCGTCTACCCGTCGGTCACGAGTCTCGTCCATTCGTCGGTCGCGAGTCTCGTCCATTCGTCGGTCACGAGTCTCGTCCACCCGTCGGTCGCGAGTCTCATCCATTCGTCTTTCGGGTGTTTCGTCTACCCGTCGGTCACGAGTTTCATCGGTCATCCATTCGTCGGTCGCGTCCACCCGTCGGTCTCATCCATTCGTCGGTCACGAGTCTCGTCCACCCGTCGGTCGCGAGTCTCGTCCATTCGTCTTTCGGGTGTTTCGTCTACCCGTCGGTCACGAGTTTCATCCATTCGTCGGTCGCGAGTCTCGTCCATTCGTCTTTCGGGTGTTTCGTCTACCCGTCGGTCACGAGTTTCATCCATTCGTCTGTCGCGAGTCTCACTAACTCTTTGTTCATTTAAATCGCGACGATATTCAGCACTTTGTCTTTCGCTTCCTTCATATTTCTAAACAATAATTTTTAAAAATATATAATTATTTTTCATTGATCTATGATTTACATCGATTCCAGTTCTGCGATCGACAGCATTAACAATGCGGTGATCGTCTAAATGTTTGGCCTCACGTATCCTTCTGTCCTGTATATTGATGTCACCGATAGTGGATGTAATGCAAAGCAAAGTGATTATGACTAATGACTTGTAAAACCTCATCTAAATGTTAATTAAAAATATATATAGAAATTTAGAATTTCTTTTTAATTATCACTTATAAACTTACAATTTAATCACAATTTATTAACAATGAATAAAAATAATGAATTTAAACTATTGATTAACAGTTTATAAATACTATTTTATTGCAATATATACTCAAATAACTTTTTTTACAAAATTATTAATAATATAATAAAATAGATATGTTTTTATTTGCCTCAAGAATAACAATAAAATTCTTAATATGATTTTCGTCTGAAGAATCGGTGGTTTTTATAGGAAATTCTTTGATGACTATAACTATTAGAGTGCCCAACGAATCAATGAATTTCTTGTAAATTTACGTCAATTGATAAACAAACAAAAAATATTAAATCAAATTGTTTTTTACAAAATTTATATTAAAGTATTAAAATCGTGGTTATRGCACACAATTGCTATTAATAAATATAGATATGATATTTATATATTGTATATAATTAATTATAAGTGTTTAGTGGCTTTGAGCGCATAATTGACACATTGGTTGTGTGTCCAAAACCATCGTTTAGTTAAAGGATTATAACCCATACCATGAATGAGGTTTACGTAACAATTATCTGAAAAGAAAACAAAATATAAGTATTATATGATATAAAGTAAGTGTATTAAAAACCTAATTTCCTAATAAAACAAATAAATTATATAAATAATTATTTTGGAAAAAACAATGTTTGCAAAACTGAGATAAAATTATTATTATTACATATTGTGTTTGTTTTCGTCTATCACTGAAACAGTTCTCATATTTCATCAAAATTTTAATAAAATTACTTCAGGTTTTTTATATCAATATTTCTTCTAACAATAACTTGAATTACGTAACGAAAAACCAAACAAATAATTATTTTCATCACAAAAATAGCAAAATATCTCCAAAATAACAAATAAATATTTTTTTCTCATATGATTTGTTTGTATTTATTTTGGGAATTATGTTTGGCGTCAATAGCGGTGACGACAGTTGATGTTGATTGCCATAAATCCGTTGATCGATTGGTTGCTATTCTTAGCTGTTCGGCAAAAGAGCAGCCATTATTGACGGCCATTATCTGCAGAATAGCCACTACAAAGGTAGCTGAGCCGAGAAAAGTGGTGCAAACAAAGAAACCGCGACTGACCAGTTCGTCGCCGATACCGCAACGAAACTTGGATTCCGTGAAATTCTTGAACGAACCAAATATGATGGCAATGGTAACCATTTCGATGGTAAACAGGATGTATACCAACACACCATACGTGAAGAGTAGCCAACATTTTTCAATAAGGACAGCATAAATGCCGTTCAGTGCAACCAATATATTGAACGAACCGATTCCGATAAGAATTATCAAAGAATATTCAGCCAATTCTATAGATATCATTACTTCTTCACTTTGATTCTGGCATTTGTTGTCAAAGTTAATCAAATAATTTTGAAACACTATATTAGTGAACATTATTGTAAATCCGTAGACAATGAATATTGTATTGAAAATCAATAGATTTCGCCGAAGTTTGGTTTTCATTCAAATTGATATTATTATTATTAATTGAGCTTTAATTTATTAATTAAATTAAAATTAACACACATTTATTTATATACAAATAGTGTACATTTTTATGATTTAAAGTATTAATTAAACTAATAGAATAGTTATAATATAAAATATAACTATTACTATAGTATTAACACAAAAATATAATGTAAATTTCATCTTTTAATGACTTTTTAAAACCGCATTGAATTATAGAATATAAAAGTTATGTAACTTAGTTTATATTTAAAATTTCAAATAACAAATAACCTCAACTTTTCAATACAAATAACATTATTTAATACAACTTTCAAATTATATCGAATTGAATGACTAATATTATTAATACAGTTATTTCAAATGGCAATGAATGCACATAAAAATTACAACAGAATCTGCAATAAACTGTTGACTATAAGAATCCGTTTGATAGCAATAAAACATAATTCATATTTACTTTAGTTTGCTGTTCATAATGTGTGTGTGTGTGTGTGCACAGGTATGTCACGCCAACACAATCTATCTATCCACTCAACTATCATAATCAACTATCTATTGTATTGTACAGTATATATATATATATATATATATATATATATTGGGCACCGGTAGTTATGAGCACGTATACAAAGTTTTTATAATCTTTGCGAATATTGGATTCTTAAGCCTTAAGTGTCAAGAATCTGAGATTATTTCTCAAGAATTATTATTATATATATATATATATATAAAATGTAATATAAAATGTTTTTATAGTTAAACAAACTATCCCTCCCAGGAATATTACATCCAATTTCAACAAAAAATCTAATCTATTTAATGAAATCATTCAGACATTCACTGAATTGTCAATTAATAATTTAAAACTAATATTATTGTTTCATTATATATGTATGCGAAGGAATTCATACAATTTTAATATTTTGTTAGGTATTTCTAGTGCAACCACAAAATCAATAATATATATTCATATATAATAAAAACAAGTGTTATACTATAATATAATTTACATAAGCAAATAAAGTTGATGTAAATAAATTTGAAAATTTAATAATTCCCAGAAATTCTTAAAGTAGATGTAAATTTAATTATATAAAAAAAATAATTAAAAAATTATAAGAAAACARTTATTGTAGAGAATRTGAATATAATATATTTCAACAACAATAATAAATACTAATAATAGTGAAATAATACTGTAATATAATACAGTAAACTACCAAAATTTGTATTAAACAACAAAAACAACAACAAAATATCATATAATTTATTTCAATRCCTTAAAAGTTAAAGGCATAACATATGTTATATAGTATTAAAACATTAATAATGATTATAGGATTCCATAGAAATGTATTATTTCTTGGAATTGTTTCGATCAATATTTTCACGGAATCGCTATAAAAAAACTTCATGTAATAGATAATGATATTTCATTCAACATATATATAATGGCAATCAATAGCAATATAACAAATGGTATTTCTATTGAATTTTAATCCAATCAAGAGATTATATGACCACAAGATGTCAAAAGTTATAGAAATTTAAATTAAAAAAAATTTTTTTACCCAAACTTTTCAACAATTTCTTTGCCAATAAAGTGTTTTTATAATTAAATAATAATAATAAAATCAATACATACGATCGTGAAGAAGCAGTTCCAGTGCTGATGGTTTGACGAAGAGTTTGTATTGATGCATCCCTTTGGGAACTAATTGCAAGACATATTCGGCCATCAAAATGGCCATCAGCGCGGCTATCGGTGTCTGATTTATTGTAGTTATAAGTAGTTTTCCGTCGGGTTTCAGGCATTTGAGGCCACATTTGAGGAAGTAGTCAATATCATCCACATGTTCGACCACTTCGCTGGCAATTACGCCGTCAAACGACTCTTTTAGCTCATCCCTCGCCGATAGTTCTTCAATGGTCACACACTCGTACGTTAAGTTATCGGTGAGTCGATCATCTTGTTTGGCGTGATTGATGGCCATCTCAATACTGTTCGAGATAGGATCAATTGCCGTAACGTTGGCGCCGAGTCTTGCTAATGGTTCCGATAACAGACCGCCACCGCAACCAATCTCCAAAAGTCTGATTTCGGCCAATGGTGTAGCAGTGTTGGGCGCCGACGGTTTGAATGCATCTCTAATAAACGGCACCCGTAGCTCATTCATGGCCAGCAATGGTTCAAAATCAGCTCTGTTCCACCAGTTGTCTTTCAATGACTCAAATTTGTCCATCTCTTCGGGTCTGATAGTACTTCTTCGGTGATCTCCAGTGCCTTTCGTTGTTGTTATAATAAATCTTGGCCTACACTCGACCCGTGTAACCGCACGAAGTAGACAACTGTTAATACATTTTGTTGACCGCAAAACACGACTTTTCATTAAACTATTCATAACTTTTATTAATTATTTTTATAAAAATTTATTTAATCAATTAAATGATAAATACATTCAAATTATATCAGTTTTCAAACAAAATTTGTATTACATTATCATTACATAACATTGTATACAAAAATAATGTACTGTAATATGTATTATATGTATTAGTAGTAACTTTGAGTTATATAATTAAAAATATATAAACATGGTCATTTACTTTTTTGTTTGTTTGATTAACAATTGATAATTTTTTTGAAAACTATTAAATTGATGAATTAATATATAAATAAATATATATAATAAATGAAAACTATATATTTTTAAAATAAAAATGATGATAAAATTATTAATAAATTTAAACATAAGGGACGTCCAAAAAATCTGAATTACCCCTTAACCCCAACTTATAGTTGGGTCAATTATTTAGCGACTGAATACGATATCACTAATAACAACTAAAAATAATATCATTAAATTAGTTGACATATAATTTATAATTAATTAGTTAATTGATTGATTGAGAATCAATAGATAAATCAGTATTTCAATAGTCATCTTCATCGTCGTCGTCATCATTACCAGCTTTGATCTGTTCTTGATTTTTATACATTTCCGACACCTGTGAGGCAGTAGTGGCCATATCTGGCTTTTTATCGTCTCGTAGGCGCAGATATCGGGGAAATCTCAATGATATACCCTTATCGTCGTTGACAAAACCAATGGCCGCTTTATGTACGGGACTCAGAGACAAATCGGCGCACTTGACTTCCCACACCTGGACGGCATCGAACCAGACATCTGGACGAAGACTTTCATCGTAATTGTAGTAAGACTTGGGTTTATCAATAACGTGTTCATTGAGACTGTTGGCCAAGTTTTCCAGGTCTTCGTCCTTAAATCCGGTGCCAATCTTACAAATGCTCTGAAATTCTTCGGTTCCGTCATCATAACAGGCCAACAGATAACCGCCGTAAACGCCGGTTCGCTTTCCTTTGCCACGATAGCCGCCAATGACCACCAGATCCAGTGTGTCGCCAACGCCCTCCAAGTAGTCTTTTTTGAGTTTTAGCCATTTTTTCGATCGTTTCGCGATTTCATAACTGGCGTCGACATCTAATGTCTTAACCATTAGACCTTCACATTTGCCTTTAATGGACTCTTCGAGAAATTCTTGTATCTCATCCAGAGTGTTGACATCACTCGAATGGGCAAACGTGAACTCTCCCTCAACAGACTTGAAGTGAGCTCTTAATAAATCTCTTCGTTTACTGAGTGGTTCGGCTACTAATGACTCTCCATTCAGATATAACAGATCAAAGACATAGAGACAGACTTGGATTTTAATGTCTCCCTCTTCGGCGTTCTTGCGCTTCCGAGTGCTTAACACTTGAAACGGTAAGATCTGTTTCTGTTGTTGATCCCAAGCGACAGCCTCGCAGTCAATAATGAAATCTTTGACTTCATCGGTAATACAATTAGGCATACGTTTAATAATATCGGGATATTTCGATGTATTGTTTTCCTGGTTTCTGCTAAATATAAGAACAGAACCGTTGCCGACATAATGTATTTGTGCTCTTTCGCCGTCATATTTGTATTCACACGTAAACTTCGATTTATCAAATCGTCGCAAAACTTCGTCAACACCTTTGCTCGGATGAGCCAACATTGGCTTCAGAGGAATGCCTGGTGTCAACTGACAGTGTGTCGGCAGGGCTTCGATGCCGTGTTCGAGAATGACTGGTATTATTCGGTCATAATTAGGACACTCACAGTACGCTGTCTTTAATATTAGCGAATGTTTGGCCACTTCTGCTTTGAATTTATCTGAGCTACGCTTCATTTTGACATTATTGTGAAGAACAACTGCTTGTGTCAGCGCCTGTAGAAGTGACTGTTCGGCCAAACCTATGCGCAACTTTCCAGTCAATGATCTGACAAGATATCGGGCCTCACATTCACGACAGGCCACAAGCATCGACTGAATCATTTCGACTTTCTTGGCCTGAGTCGAGTTGCCCGACATTTGTGTTATTTGTTTGAATTTATCGAAAACATTGGCCACTGATAGCTTCGGCGGAGCAAACAATGTCTTCTGATTGGTTCGACTCAATTCGGCCACTATTCCCATATCTCCTTTCTTCTCGATTTCGGCCTTAATTTGATCCACTTTTCGACCGGTGGCCGCAGCGATGGCTTTAATAATCAATGATTCGCCAATACCTGCAAACCGTAAATAAGAAAAAAAACAATTGTTTAGAAATTCAATTAACTAATTGTCATTAAATCATTAAAAAAATTTAAATCAATACCCATTTCAAGGCCTTCATAATCGGGACAAACTTTGTTAAGACACAGATATACCGATTTAATGAGATCGTCGGCAGACAATGCAATGACTGAACGAAAATAATTGCTAAGTATTTCAATCATCTTCAATCTGCCCGATGTCTCCTCAATGGTCTTTAAAGTGGTGGCAAAGGCCAAGTACGGCACCCGTTCACCCGATCGCCAGATAGCGTCGTCGACGGCGTCGTAATCACTTTTACTCGGATTGTAAACACTGGAAGAGGTCGCCGACGGCGGTGACGATGACTTGATATTCATTACAGACTTCTTGGGAGTCGCTTTAGTGGCCATTGTTTTGATGACAATCTTATTTAGTGGACATCTAATCAATGGTTGTATCGCTAATTGTATTGATTTCAATGCAAACATTAAACTATTGATTGAACTAATGTTTATGCAATGCGTGTATAAATATATTGTTTGTATTGCAATGTATTGTTGTATTGCATTGCCTTTCGCGCCGTTTTATAGTCCTATTGACAACAAATATTTGCATACAATTGGCACACATTTATAATGACATTAGTCTTAATTAATAATAAAATAATAGATATTTATTACTAGTTTTATCTAAAAATTTATAATAAATTATAATGAATTTTATTATTATTTGATTGATTACTATTGTTAATGTTTACAATTAATTAATTTCATAGCAAATATGTATACTATAGTTAGTTTATATACTATTGTTTATTGTAATTTATGTTAGCATTAAGTATTGTATACATTGAGTCTCAAACATAACTGGCCCGTTAGCTCAGTTGGTTAGAGCGCCGTGCTAATAACGCGGAAGTCGTGGGTTCGATCCCCCCACGGGCCACTTGTTTTTGCACTTTTTTCTAAATACTTTTTTAAATTATTTTTAGAGAGTGTTATAATAAAATGTTAGAATTTATGTCTAATCTGTAAAAACAATATGTTATTAAAGAAAATATTGACATAAAGTAAGTAATGAAATAATTATAACTAATAATAACACAAATATATGATATAATAATTTAATTTATTTAACACCAAAAAAAATATTTGAAAAAATAAATGATTTATAGCTATAATAATACAATGAATTAATATCGACACCAATTATGTCACTTCATTGTCAGCTTTTTTAACTGATTTCTTGTTTCGGCCTAAAGTCAGACCTAAAGATCCCGACAGTTGTTGCGCATCAAATGTTGTGATATTTACCACTTGTTGTGGCAACTCGTAGCTAACTGTGGCCTCGGCCGGCAACAGTTCCTGGATGTCGTCCGGCACCGGGAGTTGAGAGTCATATAACTTCGCGAGTCTTTCCTTTTGTTGCTGTTTTCGTCTTTTCTTATCTTCTTTGAGTTTCAATTCAAGTTCGTGTTTGGCTTTGATTTTTCGTTCAGATTTTCTCTTCTGAAAACCTATTGATTGATTGATTGATCCAAACAATTAGTAAAACAATTAGTAATAAATAATTTATTAATTAAAAAAAAAAATTAAATAGTTATCTAAAATACCCGTCAAATACTCTTTTCTGTCGTCTGAATCAAATGTGAGCTCAAGTTTTGGCCGTTTTTTGTGTACAAAATACTTCTTCTTTCGGTTTTTACTTCTCTTATTCTTTTTATTTGTCTTATTGTCATCAATTTGATCCATTGTCGTGCATTTGATCCGTTAACGGACAACGATTACACTAATTAATCTCAGATCAAATAAGATGTTTGGGTTTGAAAATACTGTAGATTTTGTAAACAAAAATAATTTATTTATTTTTATATAAAATGTATGCAAACATGTGCTCAACATTTTCCAAACACACGTTTCTCGCATTAGGTGTCACTCTATGTCTTAATACAGTATAATAATTGATAATAATTTTAAATTAAAAAACTTGTAATTTAAAAGTACAGGCAATTAATTATTTGTTTGTTTGTAATAATTTTAATAACAATTTAAATAACAAACAAAAAAAACTAAATAAAAAACTAATAATTTATTTTACATCTTCAAAGATCTATAACAAAAAAAACAATTTGATTAACAATTAACTTGATATACAAAAAAAACAACAAATTATATATTAATAATTTATTATAATAAACTTTAACACAATTATTGCATTATAATGCTATTATAACTATTTAATAATTTTTAAAAAAAATTAGACTGCTTTGTTTGAACAGTTTTTGGACAGTTAGCAAATGGCATAATCAAATCGGATGTTATCAATAGCCAAAGTTCCCGATTTTCCCGGCAAAACAGTGGCTTCGATGAAAAATCTAAAGTCACCGTTCCTTAGGTCGACATTCATATAACTCTTTTGCCAATCGGCCGACTTAGCACTCGACGACCATAGTTTACGATCGCGTTTGTCCTGTTGTGTTACCGAAAGAGTCTGGCTATCGGAGCCGTAAGAATACCATTCTATGCGTAGACAACCATATAGTTGGCCTTTTGTTTTGTAGTAAGGAGTTACCAGTCGAGCGCCAGTAGTTTTGGCGCTTCTGACGTCCAAGACTAGCATATTTTGTTGGCGACCGCCGATAGTGGCCAAGCCGTACACGAATCTGGTCTTCATGTCGGGACCATTGACTATACCGCAGTCATTGGCTTTGAAATTGCATTCAACAAACTCTGACCGATATATCTGTATAAAAATGGACAACAAAATTGTTACAATTAATAATTGCATATTATATGCCATTTTAGAAATAGTTTTTAAAAGTAATTTAATAACAATTAAGTTTTGTTATATGAAAAAAGTGTAATATTACTAAATTTTTGAAATTTGTAAAATAATATTTTATTTAAAAAACGATAATTTAAATACTTTAATTATGATATCGCATATAAATTGTTTGAATCCCATAGGAAATGTCACATATGTTATTGTATTTAAAAGATAAACAAAATTATTTATTATAATTAATTAATAATTTGGCTCTAATATTGTGATAAATGTATTGTTTTTGGATATTATATATACGGTTACCATAATATCACAGTTGATTATATTGGCTCTCAAAAAGTTCAGTTTGAAAGCTCAAATAGTTATAATTTTTATTTAAAATACAATAATAATTGCAAATTAAATACAAAAAATTACTTTATATATATATATATAAGCTCTTAATTTTTAAACAAAAATATCAATGAATTAAAAATATTGTATTGTATTTGTTTGAGTCATCTAATAATTTGCTAAATAATATAATAAATAAAAACATTTAGTATGACTAGTTATTAGTTTATCATTGAAATTGAAAAAATTAACCAAAAATAAACTATCTTAATCTATTATTAATAGGAATAATTTTGTTAATATTACTTAAATAATAATAATAAAGTTAATTTATTTAGTATATTATTTTTTAAATTTAAACTAAAAATAATTTAAATAATAGTATACTTATTTACAATGATTATAAAATAATTATTAAAGTGACTCTCATTAATATTTTTTAAAAAATGTATTTTTTTGTTTATATTACAAAACAATTATTGTTTTTTATTTCCCTAATATTATCCTTCACTGTCCATGAGATAAATAAATTTTTTTAAAATTATGGTTACCGGAGGCCAACACAATAAAATAATTTATTAAATTGTTTGTTTAATTTATAATATAATATTTAATATTTTTTGTTGTTATTCTTGTTTAATTTGTTTTATTATATTTTATAAACAAAAGTTTATGATTATAGTTTTTATTCAAATTTATTTTAAATAAATAAATATTACAAAAATAATAATTTAAAATTCAAAAATTTGTTGCATCATGAAACATTTATATATTTTTATTGATTGTAAATTAGTTAATTAATAATAAACAATAACAAAAATTATACAAGGTAATATTTTAAATTTGTTATTTAATAATTTTTATTAAGTTTAATATAAATTTGTTATTACAAAAATACAAATAGTATAATAATTATTATATATATTCTTAAATCGTCTTCAATAATCATATAATCAAAATTAAATTAAATTAAATTATTAATATGAAATACTCAATTATACTATTAAATAAGATAAATTGTGTGATATAATTCAAATTATGTCAAATTAACTCGACCTTGATTAAAAAATAAAATAAACTATTTTGGCAATCATTGCTAAATTTATTCACAACATTACAATTAATTTAATTTATTTGGAGACGGCATTTAACGCTTCAATAAACTAAATCAATTGTTTTCTTCATAATTATCATTAAAAAAAACTTTAAAAATCTTTAATTGTTTACTTCAATAGCCGTTATTCCTGTTTTTTCTCAACTATTTTTTTATCTACCATTCCCTTACATTAATGAACTACAGTAGGATTTATTTGTATTTTTTATTTTGTTTTTGTTTTACTCACTTTTTTCAATAATTAAAGTTTGATTATAAAATAGTTATCATTAGTGACTTTTTAAGAAGATATTTTTAAAAATAGATTTTAGTTTAAAGCTTTGTGTGTTTTGTTTTACTAATAAATAATTTAAAGATATTAATTAAATATGAATATAATAAGCTATTAATATTAATATTATATTTACATAACAGCATTATTGACATTTTGACATTTATTCAATTGGACATTATTTGAATAATTTGAATAATTAATTATTATTAAATTTTTATAAGTTTGCATAGTTTAAAGTATAGATAAATATTTAAATATTTAATTCATTTTAAAAGCTATTGACTAAGTTTTATAATATAATTTGTTGTATAATATATATAAATTAGTTTGTTTTTTATACGAGTTTAGATAATTATTGTATACAATACATTAAAAATGCAACAATGTTTATGTATTAATATAAATATCAAATAAAACTGTATTAATTTGTACAAAAAGATTACAATTGTTAACAAATGTTATTGTTTTGACCGGTTTTAAAAAAAAATATATTACAATTGATGTATTGATATAATCCTTTTGTAAATAATATATAAATAAACTAAAAAAAGTCTAACAATTTTTGTTTTGTATTTTAAGATGTTTTATCAGTAGACACAACAATATAAAAATTTATATATGGTATATACAGTATATATATATATATATATATATATATATACATATTTTTATTAGTTGTTTGCCTATTAACTAGAAAATGCTGTATTTAGGTTATAACTTATAATCAAATAGTGATTATTGAATTTATTCAGTTGCTATTAAGTCCCCCAAACTTATTGATTGTTTATTTGATCCATATAAATGAATAACATTATTATTTAGCAAAATAATAATAATAAATATATAATATTATTTGACAAATTTTTCTTCACTGTAATAAAATAATTAATACTTAATTTACATAAATAATATTTAATTAATTCTCTAGTATTTACTATATTTTTAAATAAATTTATTTTTATTACATATTAAATATTATCACAAAATTAAAGCATGCATTGCGTGACATTTACTAAAAGTTATTTAAATAAAAATAATAAAACAATTATTATGACATAAAAGACATTTTATTACTTATAAAATATTATATATTTTATTTAAATTATAATTGTTTATATTACAAATAAATTATTTTATTTTTAATTGTAAAACCACATTGTTAATAATGAATTGTAAACTTTTATTATTTCAAACAAACATTTCTCAATGTAATAATATAAAAAATAATTAAATTTATTAAAAACATTTTCTGTATTTTAAAGTGCATTTAAATCTTTTATATTACAATTTAAATAGACTTTTCATAGGAAACAGTAGGTGTAATTGATTATATATGCATAAAATTATAATTTTGAAAACTAAGAAATAAATATATTAATTAATTTTAATTATATTTAAAAAAAATATTTTTTTATTTATTCACAGCATTAAAAGTGGCAGTATTTAATTAAAAGCAAACAATTTTTAATTTGCATTTAGTATTATTAATATTATTATTTAGTTATAATTATTTATTTAAACATAAACATTTTAAAATTGTTGATCTCTTTGACAATCGGCAATTTATGTGTGAAAAAATATGGAGCAAATCAATTAATAAAAATACTAATAAACTTGTAATTTGAAATAACTTATTATAAATATGATATAAAATTTTATTTAATTAAATAAAATAAATATAAATTAGTAATATTAGACTCCTAGATGGCCACTAATCATGTTTATCGCTAATGGCTTATTGTAATGTTATTATAAATGAAAATAATAATAATAATCAAAAATAAAAATTACATAATAATCAAATACACAGTCAAACAACTTTGTTTAAATCTAATTTGCAATTTCCTTCCCATTTGACTGATTCACGCCTTTTAATTGAACTTTTATTATTTAATGTCCTTATTGTGTGAGAATAGTATGTAATATATTAAAAATAGTTTTTTGACAGTACTTATACTTGTCTTAAATAAAAACTATAAATATTTTTTTTATATAGTATAACATAAGGAGCATAACTAGAATTTTGATCCTAGACAAGCTGCTAACATTTTTTGCTATCTAGTAATAAGTGGTATGTCTATGATAATTAATCATAGAAAATTTAACTAGATAATATTGAAAATTTTATATTAGTTTATTTTAGTATAAATCTTAATATATTAACTGATATTTTCTAAAAACATAAATATACTAGACAATTTGATCACAATGCAATGTAGTACCAAGGTTTTTTTTTGTTTTAATGTTAATTATGCAAATGACACAATTAATAGTTTAAAATAAAGTTTTATAATACAAAAAAAAATATATTTGTTTCTTAAATCAAATTAAACTTTTTATATTAAGCTAATCCATGTGTTTATTTAGACATATATTAAAATATAAAACAAGATATTTTTTTCTAAGCAAATTTTGTGACCTCAAATCAGGTCATTTAAATAATTTGTATCACTTTTTTTGTTATGATATTAAAAAATATAAATAGCTTATGTTTTTATAATCAACAAACAATAAAGAAAATAGCGATTAATATCTTTAAAAAATAATATAATTTAACATTTATTTTTTGTAATATTATATAATATATAATATAATATAAAAAAATTAAACCATATGTTAAAAATATATCAAAAATCAATATTTTTGTTAACTGTCGATCTAATTATAAATTAGAAAATTTATAAATCACATGTTTTTTTTAAAATAGTCACAATTATAATTTATATTAATATTTATAATATGCTGTAAATCACACATTTTTCAAAACTTTCAAAGTCTAACAACTTATGTATGAATTTATTACTCATAAATTAGATGATAAAAAATTTGAAGAATTATAAAAAAATTGGAGCAAATAATAGTCAGTATATTAAGTGGTTTTTATCAAATCACTTAAAAAATATTAGAAATAAGAAAATATATATCAATAATTGAGCAGTTATGTTGACATAAAACTATTGATAATATAACAAATGTGTGCTAAAATAGTAACATTTATATTGATTACAACAAAAAACATATAATAATATATTTTAATAATTTTTATTTCAATTTCATTTTGTTGAATATATACTACATCTACAATATATTAATATATATATTAAGCAATGAATTTATTGAATTTAAAACTTATTATATAATTATTATAAGAAAATACAATTTTACATTATATTCAGGAAGAATAATTTAATCCAAAAACATTTTTTTCAAATAATTTTTTAGATACAAATGTATTTAACAAATATATACTATGTTTTTAAGAAACCACTAATGAATTCATTTTTTTAAATATATATAATTT